GATTTCTTTTCATACAGAAATTATTCGTCGAACTCGAATTTCCCATTCTGGAGACGATATAGCGAGACATCGAAGAAAAAAGTTACACGCATGTAAAAGAAGATGAAAGATAGAGACAAAAAAATAAATGTGCTAGAATTTGCAGTTAACAAGAAACAATAACCATCTCATCTTACACCAAATATGAGAATCTCCGTTTGACTGAAATTTATTGAACTTGCTGAAATGATGGTGACAGATGGGGTAAGGACGGGGCGAGTGAAGGACAAAGTAATCGTCATTGATAGGGAACATAGCTAAAATGAGATGTTAAAGGGGGTAACAATCGAGGCTAATTCCAAGTTAGAAATTTTTATCGCCGATAACTATTATTTTGTTTTCATTTGATGCTTTTTATACCAGAAATAGCAAAAACAAATCGGCTGATTGATTTCCTGCCATCCTCGGCAAGATTTTGTTGATGAACGTCTCCTGCTGCGGCAGACAGTTTTGAACGAGCCAACTGGCAAGCCACTCCCCTCACAGAAAATTAGAATCATTTCTTTTTTGGACTTTTCTTTCAAGATGAGCGATGATGAAGCCATTGAAGATAATAAACTGACGGACGTCATTATTGAGTTAGCAAAATTGGAAATTTTCCTGCCACATTGCTATATTTGCGCGAAAATTCAAGGAGGCCAAAGTAAAGGAAAGTCGAGAACAATCAATTGGGCAAGAAATGGAATTTGCCGTAAGAGCCGTAACTCGATGTTCATGTCAAAATGATAAAGGGATTTGATGGTCGACACAGAAGTTTGTAGAAGGTACAGAAACTTGATTGGCCAACCTTGCAAACCGCTCAAGTCGCACAAATTGGCCACCCTAATTTGGCTTCCTTCTTTTATGTTTTGAAAATGCCGTCCTTATCGAAAGGACATTTCCTTCGTTTTTCAAAACATCATGTATGGCCTGTATCTATCAGATAACAGGAGTGTTTGATTGAGATCGGAAATCCTGGATACAAATCACCAAGATAGACTTAAAATGAGCTAGATTCTCATTGAAAGCTTGGTAAAGTGTTATCGTCAATGCCCAATAAAATATTTAAGCTGTTCACCCAATTGAAACCAACAACCCTTTCTCCAGCGCCAGATTGACAGTCTTAGACCACTCGACCAGGCGTATAAAGGAGTTTCAGTAATTCCACTTTTTACAAAAAACGATCCCACGAACCCTCAGAACTAATTTGATTTTTTAAAATTAGATAAAATTAGACACAGAGACCCAAATTTTCAGCCAAATCGGTTCAATTTTCAGCCAAATCTCTAAAATCGCATAACAGACAGACACACAGATATAGTCTCTCTCTTATAATAAGTAATGATAAAAACGATCATTTGCTTAGAATCAACACAAAATTATCATTTACTTACAATGATCGCAATTTGAATCATTCTGAACGTTTTAATATGAGCTGGAGCTTTCACACAACTGAATATTCCAATGGTGAGTGAGCAAATAAGGCCATCGATTGGAAGTGGAATTAAATAAAGAGTCTCGAGAATCGAATATTCTGACATTTGAGTTTGATAGTGGGAAAAGTGATGGAAGTGAGGAAAAGTGGAAAAGTGTGACCATTTGTGAACCCAAAAAGTAGAGTGGACGAATTGGAAATAAAAATGGAAACAGGTGTTTTTTGAGAGTCAGGAGACAGCTGTAAACTTTAAGAAATAATTTTCAGCCTGTAATGAACATTTGTTAAACCTTACTGTTTATAATACTCTAATTTTAGGATACGATCACCTATCATGATCCTGGTTACATCACTTATTGTTGTCAAGGTGTGTTTTGTAACTTCAAAAGCTTCCGGAGCTTTTTCTTTATTTTCGTCGTTTTTATTTCTACTTAATTTTTTAAGAATTGGTTTATTATAAATAAGTATTATTTTATTTTGAAAATTCAAACAGCGCCTCCGCTCAAGAAAAAAGCCATTTTTTCACAAAAACTACAAACTGTGATCTAGAAAAAACCATTGGTGGGATCTTCCTGCAAATTTGGCAACTTAAGTAATTGAATGTGCTCTGTCTTTTTTATATAAACACCAAAGAAGGTTTATGTTAAAGAAACTGTTCAAATGATGAGTCGGACTCTTTGCCATTTTAACCAGCTGCGTTTGGAAGTTCATAAACTCCACGAAAGAAAAGCTTTGTGGAATCTCTCAAAAGCCATTTTGTAGAGAAATAGTGGATCCTTTTGATGAAACCAAACGTATGTTTAAAGAAGGCTTTATGTGTGCAAAAAGTCCCTTTAAAGTTGGGCGCCGACTCATTCTCCCCAACCCAATACAACACTTAAACTTTTTTCAGATGAAGAAACTTCTCGACGACATCTCTGAGGATATTCATCAATTTCTAACCAAAAATCAAGAAATATTTTGTGTTTAATAAGTTCTTAATGATTTTTGCTAGATCTAGAACCTATAATAAGCTGATTATTTTCCTCTACTGGTCTTTATCATTATGGTTTTATTCATTACTTTTTGTGAAAGTGCTCAATGATCTCTCGGGTTAGTCTTTTTTTGAATAAATTATTATAAACAAGTGCTACAAAGGCTTTTTTTAGTTAAATAAAGTCACCGAATCTCTTAACAATTTGCTTAACAATACACTTGGTGCTCAAGAGAAAGAAATCTTGCTATCTTAAGCAGTACACGCTGAGCTTTCGTAAAATTGTCTCACCAAATTTGAATCGTCTATACACTTGGTCAATCGAATTTTAACCACGGGTGCCATTCTACTGTAGCTGCTTATTCTGGACTTTAAAACTCTCTTTAAGAACCAAATTTAGATGGCAAATGTTGGCTAAAATGATATTTTTGTGATCAAGCTACGTGAGAAAACAATCTTACTATTAAAGAGTACAAGCTGGGTTTTTGTACAAGGTTTTGTACTTTTACAATCACGTTGTATTGGGTTGTCCAGTTATGAATGCGTGTTTTTTTACTATTTTGTAAATTTCTCAAGATACCGAAATCAAGAAAAAGATATATATGAGTATTATTCGAAAGCTGAAGATCTCCTCTACATTTTGATATAAAAAGTTTGTGAATTTGTTCAGCTTTTTGGGAAATTGACTGCACAGAAGAAGAGGTGGCCAAAAAATGGAAGGGTGCCTTTGGATCAAGTTTTGGCTCCGCTCAAATTGAGTTAACCGTTTGATGTTTGGCCAATAGATATATCTATACAACTTTTTTAAAAATATAACAATTTCAGAGCATCTTTACTTTTCTGGGCGGTTATTTTACACCATAAAACTTGAGGAATAGCTAAGCTGAAATGGTTTTTTTTCGAAAACGACCTCTCCCTTTGTGCAGTCAATTTCCCAAAAAGTTGAATGAATTCTTTTTTATTCCAAAATGTAGAGGAGATCTCTACATTTTGGGAAATTGACAAATTCTTCAGCTTTCGAATGATATATAACACTCATCTACATCTGTTCGATATCTTGAGAAATTTACAAAATAGTAAAAACGCGCATTCATAACTGGACAACCCAATACTTACGAGAAATGATCTAGAGATCTAGAAGTGATCTAGAAAATGATCTAGATACTCTGCTATTGAGTGCCGAACTAGGACTTACTTGCTCCTGGCAGAAAGTGGCATTGCCAAACAAAATGAGCAAGTCTCAATACATTGAGCCGTTTGTTTTCTAAAGTTCTTACAGAATTGAACAAAAAGTGGGTAGATTGGATAAAAGCTAGAGGCAAACTTACGATTACGGTAGCTTCCAAAAATTTACATGTTTTAGTAAATGAATTAGCTGAGGGGATAAGCCTAGTGTTAAGATTTGTGTTTTGCTTATGGTTAGAGTGCAATTGAGTGACATCATTTGAGCTCAATTTAATCATTTTCACATAAAAGAGCTCTAAAACTGCCCATTCTTCATAAAAACTAAATTTAGTTGAATAAAATAATTCCGCCTTTGAAGTTGTTTTTTCTAAATACACAAATTGTTTTACAAAATTGCTTTTGTAAAATTGTTCCACTAAATTTAACCGTCTATACACTTTTATACATTCAATTTTAAGCACAAACATCGCTCAAATGTAGCCGATTGTTCTAGACATAAAAACACTTCCTTAACAACTAAATTTAGATAGCAAAAGTTTTAAATTCAGCATCTTTTTAAGCTTAAGATGGCAACTCATCGATATTCGGAAAGCTGCTCAATGAGCTGAATAAATAGACACAAACGATGAGCAATGCTATGCAAATTTTAGCTTTAACTTATAGAGCTTATAGAAATTATTATTGCTAAAGTTTTTAGAATGTTACAGTGGCTAAAGAAAATCTTCATCGTTTAGCTCAAAAACCTTTTCTCTTTGAAAATTTTGGTCAAAACACGGTTTGATTTGAAAGAGGAAGTGATTTTTCTCTGCGATAATTCGTGTTTTTCTTTTCCTTCCTTGCTTTTTTGATGTTTGATGATCAAAGGGGAAGGAGGAAATGATTCAATCTCAAAGATTTATTAGATCTCTCCGCTAGTCGAATATATAAAGTTATCCATAAGCTATCAATAAGCTAGCTGAATTTAGGATAGATTTCTTAAACTTTTTGAAATCCTTAGACTTAGAGATTAGAAATTCTTTAATTTCTTCGGCCCGACCGCTTGGGACGTTCTTTACTACTTTGCAAGTAATCAGCCTGTAATGAAGAATAAAGAATTAGCAAAAGTTCCATATGAAATTACAGTATTTAGGCCACAAGTTACCAATTTCCTGCAGTATAATATGATCATTAGCGCACAGTATCTTTAAAAGTGCACAATAGAGTCACTAGATTTTCCGTTTCGCTATAAAAATGCTAAAAAAACCATGAAAATGATAAACGAGATCATTTTACTGTAGTCGTTTATTATCTTGCGCTATTTGGTATTTGATTGGATTGCCATATCCCAAGATTGTTAGGTTTTCTCACAGCTTTTTCACATTACCAATTTAACTCCATGGAATTCAGGCAATGTCCCGTATTGTCCTCAGTGCTTTGCTGCTGGCCGTTTCCGTCAACGGACACATGGGATCGGCCACTTCCCCAGCTGCCACCCTTCTCCCACTCGTCAAGGTAATCTACCGCAAAGTATAGCGACAAGTTTTTGGAAAAGTATCTGGTAAATGTCTAGCTTATTTTAGAAGTGTCAAGTGTTATATAGAGAGTTGTAGCCCTAATTCTCGACAACATTTATCTACCAAAAACTTCTCGATTTGACTTATACAACTCATTTAATAAGCGCTTGAATGAGCGCTAGTCAACAGCTCTCCGGCAATCTCTTGCATTTTCTACATGACTTCAACTTAAATTTTTTTTATGCCGGTTTAATAGCTATATATAATTATATAGTACTACACTACTGGACAATGAAATACCATATTTAAAAAAAGATCGTCACTTTCGCCCGTCTGTAACTCCCTTGTCTTTACCGTATTTCTAAATATTAATATTACCATTGTGTAGCCCTTGAAAAGAGCTTTCAGAAAATGTATAACACTAATAGTTTAAACTCAAAGGCAAGGGAGTTACAGACGCGCGAAAGTGACGATCTTTTTTCACATATGATATTTCATTGTCCAGTACTGTATATAAAAAAGAGCAGTGTCTGCCTGTAGGGCACTTTCTCGGCCGTGTTTTGACCAATAAAGATAAAACTTCTTTAGAAGACCTTAGAATATATTGTAGTTGTGTCATTTAAAAGAAATTTAAAAACCAAAGTTTGGTGAGAATTCGGGAATCGAACCCGGCCCGTGTGAATCGTAGACAAGCACGCTCTCGACTGCGCCACGCTGACGGCGAGTTCGGGCAGGTTTTTCGGCAATGAAGTGATAAAAGTTAAAACTTTAAAGCTTAAAACATACTATTTTCAAAACTTTTAACAATTAGAATATCAGAGTGAGCTTAAAATTTCTATTCTAGGAATACCAAAGGCTGATCTATGATGGCGATTATGAGGGACTCCGTGAGTTGTACCACCCTCACGCCGTTTTGGTTGTCTCCAATGAGAAAAAAGTTTTGTATCGACCCAAGGGTGAGTTTTCCAAGACAACAACTGAAAATATCCCCTTAACTCAAAATACAATAGATTCTTATTATTTTAGAGATCTTCAAGCACATCCGTGAATCCCGCAAGAAGATTCACAACGCTCGCTCGGAATTGGCGAAGGTGAGAGTTTCGTTAGCGAGTGAATATTGCTCAAATAGATACTCATGCAAATTTAGATTCAAAAGGTAACCTTACAAATACTGTATTTTCGCTAATACTAGTTCTAAGCTGGGCCTAAATTGCTTGAAATTTTGAAAAGCGCTTATTAGAACCTATCGATGTGGGGTCGGGAAATGTAGCTGAAAACGAGATCTTGTGAGGATTAGAGATTCGAAATTAAAGTGTTTAGGTGAGAGTTTCGTTAGCGAGTGAATATTGCTCAAATAGATACTCATGCGAGATTAGAGTGTTGAGCTTCTGGGAAAACTTGGAAACTGCAAAATAGGCATCGACTCGGCTCAGCGAGGTGCACTACTATTAGGGAAAATACGGATTATTAGATAACCGGATACAGCTCAAAGGAGGGTCCGAATTAGGGCGGATTCTCACTAAAGTTGTCCACAGATAGGTGAGTAATAAATTTTCTTTAAAAACTAATAACGGATTCAAATTCCGCACCCTTCGAAAACCCCTGATTGCAAATCTTCAGCCTAATCGGCCTCAAAAAAAGTGCTAAATCCATACACCGCCCACCAGTGGCCATATCGTCGCAAATGTGTTAACAGAAAGTTGTAACTTTTAGAAAGAAACACCGTATTTTCCCTAATAGTAGTGCACCGTAAGCTTGGCCTAAATTGCTTGAAATCTTGAAAACCGCTTATCAGAACCTATCGATGTGGGATCGGAAAATGTAGCTAACGATGAGATCTTGTGGGGGATTAAAGTGTTGAGCTGCTGGGAAAAATTGGAAACTGTAAAATAGGCATCAACTCGGCTCGGCGGGGTGCACTTACAGGAAAATGCGGTAATATTTAACCAAATCTGCAGATCTTGCGAAGTATAAAACCCAAGAGCTTTTAGGAGACCTACTCCGGTGATGGCGGAGTGCTCATCTACGAGAATCGATACTTGATCAATGACAGTAAGGATACGTTGAAACTCTTTTGACAATGACAGCTTTGCATAGATTTCCGTCGTAGAAACAAAACTTTACAATCTCCTAAATCTTGCAAAACTTCAACAATCTCAGGTTTTGAAAAAATCATTAACTAGATTTAGAGATTTAGCTTTAAAAGCTTTAGAATCTGAAACAATTGAGTTGAGCTAGATATAGTAGATAAACAAGTTTAATCTGTAGATTAAAATTTGAGCTTGTTTAAGATTTAAAATATCAACAAAATATCATAATTATAAAAGCTCTTGAAACTTTTAGCGTACTGGGCACAAAAAAAGGATTTTGAGGGAAATTGAAAATATTGGGTTGGTGAATTGAAAACTGCGGGACTTTGAACTAAAATTTATTCAACATAAAATCATCAATTCATTCCAAATAATTTCCATTATTATTGACGATTTCTGCCCATTTTATAGGCAATTTGCGGATTCCTCTTTCGTAGTAGGATTTTGGTTTGTGTGTGAGACAAGTGTGAGACTCAAAAATGGAGGACTGGAGATGTCCCAGTTTGAGCACTTTCTTCAAAAGAAACCCATTTTGGTGTCAATAAAAAGGTTGTAGAGAATCAATAATTAGGATTATAGCCAAATTTCCAAAAAGATACACTTAGTAGTTTCGCTTAAAATGCAAGCTTTGTAAAAATTCGTAAATTTGGCATTTCTTGAAAACCAGTTCTTGAATCGTTCTGAAAATTTGGATATAAGCTTAATTTTTGATTCTCTACAACTTTTCCATTGACACCGAAATGGGTTTCTTTTGAAGAAAGTGCTCAAACTGGGACATCTCCAGTCCTCCATTTTTGAGTCTCACACTTGTCTCACACACAAACCAAAATCCTACTACGAAAGAGGAATCCGCAAATTGCCTGTAAAATGGGCAGAAGTCGTCAATAATAATGGAAATTATTTGGAATGAATTGATGATTTTATGTTGAATAAATTTTAGTTCAAAGTCCCGCAGTTTTCAATTCACCAACCCAATAGATAGATCTTATAAAAAAATAATTATATGATCCTTTTTAGATGGAAAAGATCTCTATGGTCCATACCGTGCCATCTGGATTAAATACCATGGACGATATGTGATCTACCATGAGGAATATGATCAACGAGTCAACAAGAAAGAGCTGAATTATGATGCGACTAAAAAAGATGATGGAACTGATTCCGTTGGTGTGGATGATCGTCAATAGACTCGTGTCATTTTGAAACACCAAAGCAATAAATTTTATATGAAAGTTGTGATCATTTCCCGAGGAAGTGCTAAAAAAAGTTAGAGAGATTCGAAATTGAGATAAGATGTTTATCGAAATGCTCGAGAAAACTTTTTCTAGACGAGATTCCTGAGTTCTAAGAGTTTTTGCTAGTGATGCGATTTGAGATCAAGGCTTTGAAGTGGATGAAGACTATAAAGTAATAGACTTACCAAGGCAATGATTATCATTTCAACTTTAAATCCAGAAAAGTTTTCTTTTCAAAGATTTACGAGATTGTTCTGACTTTTCATCGAATTCTTGACTATCGTATTTCCTTTAATTGACCCTCATGGGGCCCTATTTTTTCATAACTCCTCTAAGGTGGGGCTCTATTAGAGGAGGGATTCTATTAGAGGGATGGGGTTCAATTACAAGAAATGCATCACTTGTATGGTCCTCCACTAAAGCTTCTCTAAAACTTGAAAAGATCCAAAAGGATTTTACCCGAATCACTTTATAAAAAATTGACTTTAACAAGTCTACTCTTGGAAACCTAGACTTAAAATCTTTTCTCCTGAAATCTTAACGCCGCTTTATCATTTATTTGATTGAATACTTTAAAATTGTAAAAGGAAAACACTAAAATCCAGTTTTTCTTCTTCCTTCTTCCTTCCTTCTTCCTTTTAACCTTCTTCCTTTTAATTCACGACAATCTACATCCAGAAGGGGTACTTTTCTCTTGCAATATAGCAATGTCTTCTCCATAACTGCTAGAAAATTCTAGAGGTTCTCGAGTTGTAAATCTTTGGATTTCTTTCCCCGATCTTTCCCCGATCATAAATTTCATCATTAAATGCTTTTAAAGTTGGAATTTTATCTCGTGAAGTTATCTAGGCTGTGAATTAGTCTTGTGTGTTTTATTTGTAAATATTTGTATTTTTTTTTTGTTTAAATTCTCTTTAGTTTTGAGCTTAACTTGTTTTTATGTCTTGGTCATTCAACAATATAACAACAATGTAAACATTTGGTTACTTATTGTATCAGAGACAGCTCTCAGTGTGTTTAAAACTTTCGAAAATTGTTTTTCGGTGATCCTGGAGGAAATGGCGCATCACGTGGTTCCCCAGAGGTATTTTCTCTAAGAGTTCAATTGAAATAGTTCAATTGAAACATCAAGTTTAACTAACATTCTATCATATTTCTATTACTTCTTGACTATCATATATCAAATTTATTGCTAGTAAACTGGAGTGAAAATGTTTAGCCGATAAATTTAGCCCTCATCAAACTTTTCACTATAGGCCAAAAATAGTTAATTTTCTCTAATAGTAGTGCAACTCGCCGAGCTAAGTTGATGACTATTTTACGGTTTCCAAGCTTTTGCAGAAGCTCAATACTTTAATCCCCCACTAGATCTCATCGTCAGCTACATTTTCCGACCCCACATCGATAGGTTCTGATAAACAGTTCTCGAGATTTCGAGCAATTTAGACGACGATCAGGGTGCACTACTATTAGAGAGAATACGGCATTGATTTTCTTTTATATATATACTGTATTTTCTCTAAGAGTTCAATTGAAATAGTTCAATTGAATAGTTCAATCATGTCAAGTAAAGTCAAGTCAATTGAAAACTTATTCAATACAGTGCTTTGGTAGTTCTGATATGGGACTTAAGTTAAGACTTACCGTATTTTCTCTAATAGTAGTGCACCCCGGCGAGCCGAGTTGGTAACTATTTTACGGTTTCCAAGCTTTTGCAGAAGCTCAACTATCTAATCCCCCACAAGATCTTATCGTGAGCTTCATTTTCCGACCCCACATCGATAGGTTCTGATAAGCGGTTCTCGAGATTTCGAGCAATTTAGACGACGATCAGGGTGCACTACTATTAGAGAAAATACGGATCCGAGGCCGATTCGGGAACTTGAAACTGTTCATCTCTTTGTATGAGATACCTCTATCTATTAGATTACCATATTTTCTCTAATAGTAGTGCACCCCAGCGAGTCGAGTTGGTGACTATTTTACGGCTTTCAAAGTTTACACAGAAGCTCAACACTCTAATCCCTACAAGATCTTATCGTGAGCTTCATTTTCCGACCCCACATCGATAGGTTCTGATAAGCGGTTCTCGAGATTTCGAGCAATTTAGGCGCCGCTCAGGGTGCACTACTATTAGAGAAAATACGGTAATGTTATTTGTGATCAGTTTCCTACTTTTATATTCAAGCTCTATTTTCAGTTTTATTCCAAAACAACAGAAAATGAACATTTTGAAAGCTAACTATAGCCAAAAACACCCAATTCCATAGATAGCACGCTAAATTTGTCATAAAGTTATTTTTTATCTAACTGTATCCAAAACTCTCTCATGATTTTCCTTTATTACAAATTCAAGAGTTTTTTCGATCTGTCAAGAACACCTACAAAGCCTTTACGGAACAAAAACGCAAGAAATTATGGAAAAATCGGTAAGAGCTCGTTGCGATTCACAAAAATTCACAAAAAAGTCTCGTCTACAAGAGCAGAACATAAAAAAATAGTGGGGATTCAGATGAAAATTTGGATTTCTTGCACAAATTTGTCATTAGAGGTTCGGGGGATGGAGATTTGCGCGTAAATACGTTGAAAAATGACGTGAAAAACATCATTTGTTTGTCTCTCAGTATCACCAGTAAGTCTTTGTTAAACTATTTCAAGTACTAAAAACAAACAGACACCCACGAAATTTGCGTCTTATAATTCAGTACTATATACAATTTTATGTACTAGACCCTATTCTAGGTCGTTGCGTACTTGGAGTACTGTGGGCTTACTGTGGCCTGTTCTAGGTTTACAGCTGTTTTTTGGTCTCTTCTAGGCTTACTTTGGAATTGCGTAGGCTGTTAATGGGTATTCCAGGCTTACTGCAGGCTACTGTAGGCTTGGAATTAGTGCGAAGGCTAGCGCCTATTTGGTCTATTTGGGTTTGAGCTGAACCCCCATTTTCGGCTACGCTTAGGCTTGAGCCATTCAAGGCTTGCTTTAGGCCTACTGTAGACTACGGTAGGCTTAGGCTATTCTAGGCTTGCTCTAGACTTACTGTAGGCTACTGTGGGCTACTGTAGGCCTACTGTAGCTGTAGTTTCAAAATACTGTAGATACAGCAACTTTCGAGCAATCACCTCATTGTATTTTGTAAGTTCAGTAAGCTCATTGTAATTGTAATCATTGTAAGTTCAGTAAGCTCCTCTCAACTAATGTCCTTTCTAAAACGTGTCAACCTTTACGGTAGCTTTCACGGAGTACGGTACTTAAGGATTACCGTGGCTTTCATAGGATTGCGGTAGTAGAGTTATCTCGTAAAAAATCTCGTACTTGTCAGGCAGGCAGGCAGGCAAAAAAAGCAGCGAGTTTTGATCAGCCCATTAATTTGTGATCAAATGAAAGTCCTTGACCTGATCGATTTTTATGATTTCAAAAACAATAAAAAAGTCAATAAGCCATCCAACAAAATGATCCTTTTCCTGATCAGAAATTGATTTGTAATTTTAATTTTTGATTAATTTTTGTATTAAATCTAATTTTTAACAAAATATTTACAATTATTATGATTTCAGGCGATGCAGAGAGCCATTCTGAGTCTTCTCTTCGTGGGGATAGCCGTTTTGGCTGATGACACGTCAAAGGCAGCTTTGACTCTTGCCCCACTTATTAAGGTGACAATTTTTGCTTTCAAATTTGTAAATTTATAACTTAGCACACTAATACATTGAAATACCCGCCAATAAAAGGCAAACAAAAGCTGAAATCACAGCTATTAGGTACATGCATAAGAAATGCGGATTTCAACATTTTCATAAATTTCCAACGATAGAAACCTGATATCGATGAATGTTATAAACTATTTGAAAGTTGTAAATCTCCTCTACAAAATAGGCTAAAACGTGTTTCAATTGATCGAACCATTGAAGAAATTTCGAGGGCGAAATGCGAGTGACCAAAAAAGGAATCGAGTCACTTTAGGGACAAGTCTAACGTGGTCAAAGTATATCTAGCCTAACTCAATTGTTTCAGATGCTAAAGCTTTTAAAGCTAAAGCTCGAAATCTATTAGGTTGTTCGGATATAAACCAAAAATTAGAGAACTTCTTCAAAAATGATGCAGCTAAGAGGCCTTAATTTTCAGGATTCAGCTATAAAGTGTTTAGTAATATTAATTATAATATTAATTATAATATTAATTATAATATTAATTATAATATTAATTATAATATTAATTATAATATTAATTATAATATTAATTATAATATTAATTATAATATTAATTATAATATTAATTATAATATTAATTATAATATTAATTATAATATTAATCAGTTAATCAATGTTAATTGCATTCACATACTGACTATTTTACAGCTGTTTAAAATCAATTAGTTCTGTTGTAAAACTATTAGGTACATGCATAAGAAATGCGGATTTCAACATTCTCATAAATTTCCAACGATAGAAACCTGATATCGATAAAAGTTATAAACTATTTGAAAGTTGTAAATCTCCTCTACAAAATAGGCTAAAACGTGTTTCAATTGATCGAAGCATTGAAGAAATTTCGAGGGCGAAATGCGAGTGACCAAAAAAGAAATCGAGTCGCTTTAGGGACAAGTTTAGTGTGGTCAAAATAGAGTTAGCTCCCCAAAATTGAAGATTTAAAAAAAAGGATAACCATATATCAATTCATTAAAAAAATTTAACGGAAATGCATTCACAGAAATTTAGATAGAGCGCAATTTCAAAACCCTCAAAATTGTCAAAAAAACCCGCTTTTTCACAAAAAAGAAAAATTTTTGTAAAAGCAAAGTTTTCCCATGAAATGATCCCAACTCTTAATTATTTTGAATGACATTTTTAGGATAATGATTTTAGGGCGGTCATTTTCCACTATATAGTCAAAAACGAACTCTTGTGAAAGTGGGGTTTTCAAAAAGTGCCCTTTTTTGGTCACTCGCATTTTGCCCTCGAAATTTCTTCAATGCTTCGATCAATTGAAACACGTTTTAGCCTATTTTGTAGAGGAGATTTACAACTTTCAAATAGTATATAACATTCATCGATATCAGGTTTCTATCGTTGGAAATTTATGAGAATGTTGAAATCCGCATTTCTTATGCATGTACCTAATAGTTTTACAACAGAACTAATTGATTTTAAACAGCTGTAAAATAGTCAGTATGTGAATGCAATTAACATTGATTAACTGATTAATATTATAATTAATATCACTAAACACTTCAAAGCTGAATTCTGAAAATTAAGGCCTCTTAGCTGAATCATTTTTCAAGAACTTCTCTAATTTTTCCAAACGTAACCCTTTTTTTAAGTAATTTTAAGCAATTTCATGGGTTTTAAGATATTTTCAAGCAATTTTCAATCAGCATTTTGTTTCAATCAATCAATAAGCTCTTTTTTAGAAGTATCAAGAGTATATCTATGCCGGAAATTACGATGATCTCAAGGATTTGTATGATCCACACGCCATTCTTGTTGTTGTTGCCAAAAACAAGGCTTTCCTTGGACATAAAGGTCAATTTTTAAGCTCAATTTCCTCAATATTTTTTCAGAATATTCTAAAATTTATAATCACTTCTTTTTAGCAATCTTTGACGAGATCAAAGACACGCGCAAGAAAGTCGGCTCAGCCAAGTCCGAATTCATCACTGTGAGTTTAAAGTTTGTAGAAAATATTAGGGTGATTCGAATGAAATCAGCACTCACATATCTTTTCAAAAATAAAAAGATTGCAAGCCTTAGCTAATAAGTTTTATATACTATTTTCAAAGCCTTGAATCTCCTCTATAAAATAGTGCAAAAAGATTTTGAATTGGATTGATTATTGATAACTATGAAAGGGTTCACTAGAATTGAGCTTTATTTGATCTTGGCCTGATGGCTGAGCTTTGTGGAGGAATCTTTAGAAGAGTAATAACTTCATTCTAATTTCTTCAAAACCTCCTTCAACATTTCTTTCAGCAAGTGACCGCGAACTTTTGCCACAACCTAATATTAGGGTGATTGGAATGAAATCAGCACTTACATATCTTTTCAAAAATAAAAAGATTGCAAGCCTTAGCTAATAAGTTTTATATACTATTTTAAAGCCTTGAATCTCCTCTATAAAATAGTGCAAAAAGATTTTGAATTGGATTGATTATTGGGGATTTGGATGACTTTAAAGTTGAAAGATCAAAAATGGCCATTTTCTTGTAATAGCTATGCCTGAGTTCTCCGTTAGAAAATACTGGGAATTAAATTTTTTTCAAAATAACGAAAAGAACTTCTTTTATTTGTTCGTCTTCTAGAGGTAAATCTTTGTTTTTTGAAAAAGCCTCATTTTAGGCTAAAAACGGCTACTTTCAAATTTCGATTTATATCTTGATAGAATCTAAGTTGATCGTTTGAGTTTTGGTATAAATATTGAGTAATGTTTATCCTTAATATACTGGGAAAATTTCAGATTGATCCGTGCAAGCGAAAAGATCCGTGCAAGCGATAGTTGCCAGCAGGCACAGGTGTCCAGACTCGACCTGCCGTTACTTTTTAGCACCAAAGTCCTCAATAACCAATCCAATTCAAAATCTTTTTTGCACTATTCTGTAGAGGAGATTCACGGCTTTAAAATAGTATATAAAACTTATTAGTTAAGGCTTGCAATCTTTTTATTTGGAAAGATAATCTTTTGGAAAGATAATCTTTTGGAAAGATATGTGAGCTCTGGTTTCATTCCCATCACCCTAATGGATGCGATCATTATCTGTACTTTCAACTTTTTGGATTCTCATATCTCGTATCCAGACTCGGCCTACGGCTACTTTTTAACACCAAAGTCCTCAATAATCAATCCAATTCAAAATCTTTTTGCACTATTTTATAGAGGAGATTCAGGGCTTTGAAAATAGTATATAAAACTTATTAGCTAAGGCTTGCAATCTTTTTATTTTTGGAAAGATATATGAGCACTGGTTTCATTCCTACCACCCTAATATTAGGTTGTGAAAAAAGTTCGCGGTCACTTACAGAAAGAAATGTTGAAGGAGATTTTGAAGAGATTAGAATCAAGTTATCACCCTTCTAAAGATTCCTCCACAAAGCTCAACCATCAGACCAAGATCAAATAAGGCTCAATTCTAGTGAATCCTTTCATAATTATCATACTAAAAAGTCAGAAAGATTTATGGCTTGATTTTGAAAATTGTAAATAAAGGAGAGACTCATTACTTATTGACTGACTTATAATAAATATTGGGTTGGTGAATTGAAAACTGCGGGACTTTGAACTAAAATTTATTCAACATAAAACCATCAATTCATTCCAAATAGTTTCCATTATTATTGACGACTTCTGCCCATTTTACAGGCAACTTGCGGATTCCTGTTTCGTAGTAGAATTTGGTTTGTGTGTGAGACAAGTGTGGGACTCAAAAATGGAGGACTGGAGATGTCCCAGTTTGAGCACTTTCTTCAAAAGAAACCCATTTTGGTGTCAATAGAAAAGTTGTAGGGAATCAAAAATTAGGCTTATGGCCCAATTTTCAAAAAGATACACTTAGTAGTTTCGCTTAAAATGCAAGTTTTGGGAAAATTCGTAAATTTGGCATTTCTTGAAATGCCAGTTTTTGAATCATTCTGAAAATTTGGATATAAGCTTAATTTTTGATTCTCTACAACTTTTCCATTGACACCAAAATGGGTTTCTTTTGAAGAAAGTGCTCAAACTGTGACATATGACAATAGCCGGCAGTTTTCAATTCACCAACCCAATAGATATCAAGGTTCTAAAATATAGCACTGTAGAAGCACTATAGATTTAAAATCTAAACGTGCTTTAAATAAGATTATTTGCCAAATCCTTGATAAAATTTAATCTAGGAATCTTTCACTGGATCCCCTCCCGTTCTTCAATACGAGAACACATGGAAAGTAGTCACTGGTGGGTTTAGTTACTTTATCAACATGCAGTTTCTTTTTCAAATGATCCAAAAGATCATGTAGCTCTTTAAGCTACTTTACTAAAGTCTGAATACTATCAGAACTCACTTTTAGTTTACCAATAGCTCACTTTTAGATGAAATCGAGTACTCTGGACCCTACAAGGCAATCTGGACACAAAACAAAGACGGTCAATGGAAAATCATCCACGAGGAGTACGCTGAGCACGCTAGAAGACGCAAATAAATGCAATAAATGCAATAAATGCCTTTACTGCGGAATTTTTCCACAGCATGAACAATTTCTACAAATCCCTTTTCCATACGATTCATTCAAACATAAAGTAGTCGTTTTTCAAAAGATCGAAACGTCACCTACTCAACTCTGAAAAAGCCTTCAACAACCAATATGATATGTACGAATGTTTAACTGTTGTATGATTTTTCCTTTCAATTTTTTGGCTTTATGAAATCTCCGTAAAGCTACAAAGCTTTAAAAAGTAATCATAAATTGTTTCGGTAATGCAAAAATCGGTTCTTTTGTTGGTCTTTGTGATTTTGGTTGTGTTAGGCCAATTTTCCAATTCAGTCCAATCCAAAACACTGTCTTTGATGAAGCCGAAGAAATTCTCAAGCCTCTAGCAAGGCAGAGCTTGATTACACTTCAAATCTGATACAATTCAAGTGTCTAAACTGAATCTTCGAGCCGCCCTTTTTGACTACTTGACTTCAAGCTCTCAAAAAATCTAAGCATAAAACATTTTGCACTTGTTTTAATGTTATTTTGCAGAAAATTAATTGATTTTTCTAATGAAACAACTCATAGTTCAATTGGTGTATTTATTAGGTTTTAAATAGAAATACGTACGTCATTCCTTTTCGTACGTCATAGAGAGTTGTAGCCCTAATTCTCGCCAACATTTATCTACCAAAAACTTCCCGATTGAACTTATACAACTCATTTAACAAGCGCTTGAATGAGCGCTAGTCGACATCTCCGGCGAATCTGCCATTTGGTCACTTTTCTCTATTCAAAATTGTTAAGAAAATCTTTTCAATATTTCGTTTCAAAAATATCGTTTAATATAGTGCTATACTAACATTAAGAATCACACTTAATTGTTTTGGCTGAACTGGCATAACCAAAATTAAAGTTGAAGTCAAGTAGAAAATCGTGAAAAATGGCAGATCGCCGGAGAGATGTTGACTAGCGCTAATTAAAGTGCTTGTTAAATGGGTTCTATAAGTTCAATCGAGAAGTTTTTTGTAGATAAATGTTACCGAGAATTAGGGCTATAATTCTCTAGATGACACTTGCCAGTTTTGAAATAAATTAGACATTTCCCAGATACTTTTCCAAAAAGTTGTCGCTAGAATTAGGGCGTATAGTTAGAGCGGGTGAAAGCTAGAGCAAGACTGCAGTAGTGCTCGAAAATTAACGCTTTTTAGCAAAAACATCACTATGAGTATCTCAAATCTTCCTCAAATAATACAATTCACGAGTAAGCTATACTTTTAAAGAACTATAAGATTCCTATTAGGCTGTCCAGAAAGTCTTCTCATTCTTTTCCATACGTCATAGAGAGTTGTAGCCCTAATTCTCGCCAACATTTATCTACCAAAATTTCTCGATTTTTTGATTTGACACTTTTCATAATTCTGAAAATTAAAGTTGTTAAATAGTAGACTTTATTTTTTGTTTGTTTCTGGCCGGGTTTTAGCTTGGCTTGGTCTACAGGTTATTTGGTCCACACTGAACGATAGGGGCCATGTTAAGCAGCATTGTCTAAACATAATCATGCAAAAGCAAAAGCAAAAGCGGCCCGCCCCTTTTACCATTTTACCATCAGACTTTTATCATCAGACCCACAGTGAAGAAAGTTTATTTAAAATAGTGCTGATCCAAGCACTGGTCTTATCAGTTCTTTTGGAACCAGCCCAGGCTAAGCCACGTCAGAAATCAATTTTACCTGTCAAAGGTGTGCCTGTACCTGTCAAAGGTGTGCCTGTACCTGTCAAAGGTGTGCTAAATAGCTAAAGCAACCAGTCTTCTAAGCCAGACAAGCTCTAAGTCTCGGCCTTAATAGTTCTTCTAGACCCAGACCATGTCAGAACTCAATTTTCCTTGAAGTTAAGCACACAGCGTAATGGATAATGTAAAAGCGCTAATATTTGTATCAGTCCGTACCATTCAGAATCATTTTTCCAGTCTCAAACAAGTCAAACACACTAAAAACATTAAAAGCACATTAAAAGCAAAGCCGAAAAAGTGACCCTTTCAAAACCATCTTATCAGCTTTAATTTTCACCCAGCACACATTTCTATTTTCCAAAGAATTAGCGTAATTTTTTTTTGAATCAGTCCTCTTTATCAAAGCTCGATAATCTGATTTTCACAACTATCGGCAAAACTTTTATGAAAGAAAACTTTCAGATTTTCAAAAAACAAAATGAAACTTACCCTATTGATTGTTTTCCTTTATTTTCCAATTTCTGCCTCAATCAAATGCTATGTGGATTCTCAGGAGAATGGACAAAAACATAACGGCAATTTGGTAAGCAAAAAAAAATATCTACTGGTTTATTCAAACAATCCAAGCAATCAATCACAAAACGAAATCCTATTGGAAATCCTATTGGAAATCCAGAAACGAATCCTATTGAAAATCTAACCTAAACTACTTAATCCCATAACAGAAATTCTAATTCTTAACTTAAGCATAAGTCAATGATCATTATTTCTTGAAAGTCATTATTTTGTGGATGATGATGCTGGTCAATGAAAGGAAATAAGCGTTTTTAATGGCTGCAGTTTATGTGCAAGCCAAACCGTAGTTTAATTTCAACGGTGCGTTACATTGCTCTGCATTTGGGATAACTACTAGAGTGTGTTCCTTAAATTTATCGGATTCGGGACTTGAGGGTGGTCACTAAAGGTGGCGAAATTGGGAAAATGCTGTTTCGCCAGTACGTGGCGAGAACGTAAACTGAATCAAAAAAAAAGAATAATTTTTGAATGAGCAAGCTTTTAGATGTCTCAAGGATTAAAATCTAAAGCGGACTTATTTCTTTTTAGACGACGGTCGAATGCTCGGCGGATTGTAAGTTTTGTGGGAAACGGCGCACGAGGCTTTCAACTTATGGACATGTGAGTGATTTGATTCAAGTACAAAACACAATTAAAAGACCGCTAAAAGCATTTTGTTGTGTTCGGTTGGCTGCTTTGTCGATCCCCAAACTCATATTGTGTTTAAGATTTGGGAATTTCCAAGGTTTTAAGGTTTTATTCGAGTCAGGCTTTAGTGAACTCTCGTTGACATTAGATGATCGAGTTTTAGCAAGGATGGTCCAGGAGTTTACCGACCAAAACCAGATTCAGAAACTGAGCTAGATTCAGAAAGATTCAGAAGCAGGCTAGATTCAGAGAGATTCAGAACCTGAGCTAGATTCAGAGAGATTCAGAACCTGAGCTAGATTCAGAAAGATTCAGAACCAGGCTAGATTCAGAGAGATTCAGAACCTTCGCTAGATTCAGAAAGATTCAGACGTTCGCTAGATTCAGAGAGATTCAGAACCTGAGCTAGATTCAGAAAGATTCAGAACTTGAACCTGAGTTGGAAAGCCGGCCTTTTTTGGGTTGGGGCTGGAAATACAAAACCTGGTCGGCGTCGGGATTTGAACTCACGACCTTTCGCTTACCGGGCGAACCAATTAGCTACCAATCTACTAATGAGCTACACCAAACCTTGCCGCCAGTGTAGGGGCTTATGCCTTACTACCTTAAGACCAGATTAATCCAAATTAGGATCAGACCAAGGCCACATTTTTGTCAAACTAGATCCGAATCAATGCCAGTTGACCGCCATCTATTTTTCTATTTAATTTTGTAGATCAAGAACAATCTAAAGCTATCAAGCAGACAAGTCAGTTCAATCATCAAATTCGTTGATTTAGCAAAGCTATCAGCTAAAATCGGCGTGGGCCTGTGGTTGTGGTTCTCTCTCTCCAGTGGTTACCACCGCAATTTGTCAGGTATATTGAATAAAGTTGGTTTTTGGGAGGACTGTATACTTTCCAATTTTTTATTCGAGGAGGAGATGATTCTTTCTTAATTGATCGTAATATCTGATCAAAGATCGACAAACTTTTCTCAAATTAATGTACAATTTAATCAATAAACTTGAAAACAATAGTTTTATTCAAATTGTAAGAAGTGTTTTCCTTTTAATGAATGGAAAAGAGGAAATTCTCGCAATGAACACTTAATAAAGGAAACAACGTTAAAGGTATTCAGTTAACGGGCTAAATTCCCTAGAACGAAAATTAGCAATACAAAAGGTAATTGATTGTTTTATTATACAGGATGCGTCATAATTATTGCAACAAGAGTTCAAAGACCGTTTTCCAAACAGCTTTCTTATTTTTTTGCCCCCTTTTTTGTTGTGTTGCGTCCTATTTTCTTTATTCTTGCCTAATTGCCTCCCGCTCACACGAAGAAGACGGTTGTAAGTCAATCAAAAGTTGCAAGATGGTAAAGGTGCTTTGAAATAGTGCTTTGAAATAATGAAAGTCATAGATAATGATGGGCTATACTTTATGGAATAGTTCCTATTATTTTTGTGATTAAAGTGAGCATAAAAATTGAATTTTTCGCAGCTTATTCAGGACTTTTTCCTCAACCTAGTAGAGCGGCACCGCGTAACGTTAATTTGACGCTAACTAAAAGTTAAATTTTTCCCAAAACTCTTCGTAAAAGGTGCTTAAAAATATGTAGACTATACAGGGTGCGTCATAATTATTGCAACAAGAGTTCAAAGACCGTTTTAAAGAAGAATGTAATGTCATGGGCGTGTAAAGCCAAAATAACAATCAAAATTGGGCCTTCATGCAAGATGGAGCTCCCGCTCACACGAAGAAGACGGTTCAGGACTGGTGTGTGGCCAACTTTCCCTCAGTGATCACCAAGGATGAATGGCCTCCAAACTCACCGGATCTCAATGTGATGGACTTTTCCATTTGGGCAATCTTAGAGGCTAATGTCTGCTCTCGAAAACACACAAGTTTGGATTCTTTGAAGAAGTCTTTGACCAAAGGATGGAAGGCGACTCCTCAAGATGACATTCGGGCCACAGTGGAGGCATATCCGAACCGATTAAGGGATGTTATCAAGGCAAAAGGCGGTCATATCGAATGATCTCTTGTTTCCTTATTTGTTACTGTTAAATAAAGCTATTTCTGTTTAAAAATCTTCTTCCAGTGAAACTTCTTGGTGTGCAATGCCTTGAGTATCTTGTTGCAATAATTATGACGCACCCTGTAATTCTCAAATTTAAATTTCGTGTCAAATAGTCGGCCAGGTATTTCAAGAATTAACTTGTTTTAGAAATTAGATTTAAATCTAATGGAACGTAAATATATCAAGATTAAATATTTTAGGAAGAAGGCGAGTTCAAAATGGAAACCGACGACCTCCAAGATCATCTATTTTGCTGTAAAAGCGATTACTGTAATTCATCAACGATTTCAAGTTCTTTCTTCGTTTACTTTTTCACTTTATTGTGTTTCTTTGCGATTTTGTGATGGATTTAATGTGCAATTTACCCTAAAGTCTCGAGTATAAGTTCTGCCTTAATTTACATTCGCTTTAATTGCTTTGAATTTCTTTTTGTTGGGTTTTTATACATTTTTATTGTTATATAAACTTTTATTGTTGTTCTTGGAGCGCGGGATACTACAGGGTGACAGCCTATCAGTGACAGCCTATCACCATTGCTATTTGTTATGTGCATGGATACATCCAGACGATAGTGTTGAAGAAGACGCTGGAAAGCATCTCTTTCGACCGTCGACGTGGACTTTGGCCGGATGAAGAGGCCAGGGAGGGATCCATAAGACTGAGCACTGGAGAGGAGCAGGGCGGACGCGCCGAGCCACGCCCGGAGCAACAAATAACAGCATAAAATTGCTATAACCCTCACTATAACCCTAAATTTACTTCTATTATTGTTCTTAAAAAGCAAAAAAGTTATGCTGCAGCGGGGTTCGAACCCTCGACACACCGCACCGGAGACAGCCGTCAATTTGCATGCGAAAACCAAACAGAACTTATACTCGCGACTTTAGGGTAATCAATAAACTTGACAACAATAGTTTTATTCAACTTGTAACTTCAACTTGGTGTGATGGATTGTGTGGCGAATAGCCACTAAAAGTTATCTAACTCTGACAGCCTAAAAATTGAAAAAGTATTGAGGAAATCGGTGCGCCTTTATTCTATTTCGCGCCCCAAATCATTTATTGTTTTGTAGCTTGTTAGCTGAGTATCTTGGGTTAAGGCCTATATAAGGCAACTGTTGTTCATTTGGTTTGGTTATCTTTCATTTTTCTTTCTACTTTCCTCTCATTGTGTGAAAGTTGTGTCCTAATTAGGACGAAATTGTTTCTGTTTTTTATCGTCGCTTTTAATTCAATTGTCGATTTTCTGTGAAAATTGGGCTATAAAGCTCAAGTGAGAGCCCAAAGATTCCGAGTCAGTCGGCTATTGAATAAAGTGTTTTTAGTTCAAGTGAGATCAGATATCTCGAAACAAGAAATAACGTGTCTTGAGTGAAGAGTACCAAGCACGCGAACAATATTTCTTTACAGATTGTATATTTTTATTTCTTATTTTTATTCAAAACAAGATCAATCCGAGAATTAGGAAAATGAAAAATGGGCAAATAAACGGGAAACAAGTGACACAATAATCCCAAGTGAGAACGTATAAACGGCTTTCGATTCGCCTTCGTCTCCCGAGTTGCTTGAGAGCATCTGAAAGGGAAATGAAACAGTATCAAACATAGTTTGAAAGTTGTCCAATAGGGTGGCATGACGGGGTGGCGCAACGTCAGTGTGGCTGTCTCTGGAATTAGGAACCCGGGTTCGATCCCGCCCCCGGTTCATGGCTCAAGTTCTTAATGCGAGAAGTCTATCCAGCCATTTTCGCCTTCTCTTCTAGGTATCTATGGATCCTCCAATTAGAGTAGGGATTAGGGAACCGCCGAGAATGTAGGTGTGGATTAAATTAAGATATAGTCTAGTATTGTATGTGTCGAATTGGGTTTATCGTGTTTATTGTGTTTTATTTATAAAACGAAACAGAATTTCCCAGTGTATCTTATCTTAATGAGCAGAGCTGGATCCATTTCTCTATATTCCTGATCGTTCGATCCCGATTTTCTATATATATGTCGTAACCGTTTACGAAATTCAGCCGTTAACGAATGATTCGTAATCGGCTAGCCGTTAACGTTAATTCATTCGTTAAGGCTAATTCCAAACAGAATTTCCCAGTGTATCTTATCTTAATGAGCAGGGCTGGATCCAATTCCCTATATTCCCGATCGTTCGATTCCGATTTTCTATATACACTACTGAACAATGAAATATCATATTTGAAAAATGATCGTCACTTTCGCGCGTCTGTAACTCCCTTGTCTTTACCGTATTTTTAAATATTAATATTACCATTGTGTAGCCCTTGAAAAGAGCTTTCAGAAAATGTATAACACTAATAGTTTAAACTCAAAGACAAGAGAGTTACAGACGAGCGAAAGTGACGATCGTTTTTTCAAATATGATATTTCATTGTCCAGTACTGTATATGTCGTAGCCGTTTACGAAACTTAGCCGTTAACGAATCATTCGTAATCGGCTAGCCGTTAACGAATCATTCATTACCGGCTAGCCGTTAAGTTTTGAGCAAATATTATCAGTATTGACTTCACTTGGCTGGCTTTTCATTAGTCCATCAAACCTAGGCAAGCCAAATCCAAGGTTGGCCACGGCTTTGATTTGACTTGATCTTGCCTAATCTTGGCTTGACTTAGCTAGCCCTGGCTTATGCTTCTTCTGTTCAGCCTAAGTTTACAGGAAATGCAGTTGCTTAAATTTCAACTTTTCTTTTATCAACAGCTAAGTTAATGTTATAAAAAAAGTTCAAATCTGACCGATTCCCGGTATCTCGACGACGGTCTGACTCCGAAAAGCCTTGTACTCTTGGAGCTCGGACTAAAAACGCTTTGAATTATTGTGATTTTGAGATCTTGTTGTGACTTGTGACTTGTGACTTCCAAATATCACCAACCCCAAATAAGTGTCGCCTTCGACTCGGTTTTAGACGATAGTTTGGTAACCTCGTTACATCGAGTTCTTCGACAGCTTTTGATTCGATCATTGAATCGGTGTCCTGGAATTATTGAATGAATTATTGAAAAACTAGATTAATCTCAAACCGGCAGTTCTGTACTCCATGTTTGACCGATATTTGGAATCTCGATACCTAAAGGATTTACAATTTGTATGTGTCAAGCCCTAGTAAAATCAAGTATGATTGTAGTTAAGTTAATTTCCTTCTCTTTCTTTCTTCTCTCCTTCTTCCTCTTAACAGGTCAAGGTACCGGATAAATCATCTTTCAGGCTTCTGCATGATCCGTCGTGGAATCACTGGTGGAAAGATCAACAAGATCGTTCTTACCGTAACATGTGCATTCTCTTTGGACTCATTTTCATGTTCATTCTCCCAGCTTGTGTCATTACCAGCATTGTGCTCTTTTTCCAAAATAACCCCAACTTCTTTGACAGTGATTTCTTTCATCCTAGTGGGAATGGTTACACGGAGAGTCCATGGGACTCCAATTGAATTAAAGTTCTGACTAATGTGAAGCTTTAGATATTGTTTCGGTTTCTAGAAAATCAATCCGAATAACTGAATTCTTTAGCAATTCGGCTTTTGTCTTTTGCTTTCTTTTGCTTTTGCTAAAAAGTTGCTTTCTCTTTGCGATTACTTTCCTGCTTTCTTTCTTCTTCCCCTCTGTCTTTCCCTCTTTCCCTCTTTCCAAGTTAAGGTACCGGATAGTTCAGTGACTAGAGCAATTTTCCGGAAAGCAAAAGGTCGAGGGTTCAATCCCCTCTCCGGGAATCTACTTTTTCCTGCCAATTCCTTCATTTCTTTATTGGGATGGTCGGCGGCAAAGATTGAGGAGATTTTGAGGAAACAGTTTACAGTTTAGCCTCTTAAATATGTATATATACTGTACAGTACATAGCATTATCGTACATAGAAAGTCTAAAAAAGTATAATCTATTTGTCTTTTATTGTTTGGGTTTCTAGAAAATCAATCCGAATAACTGGATTCTTTAGCAATTTTTGTCTTCATTTTGTTGCTTTCTCTTTGCGATTCCTTTCCTTCTTTCTTTCTTTCTTTCTTTCTTTCTTCTTCCCCTCTGTCTTTCCCTCTTTCCCTTGGTAAGTTAAGGTACCGGATAGTTCAATGGTTAGAGCAATTACCCGGTCGAGCAAAAGCAATTAAAGCAAAAGGTCGAAGGTTCAATCCCCTCTCCGGAAATCTACTTTTTCTTGCTAATTCCTTCACTTCTTTATTAAAGGTTGTTGATTGAAAAGCAGCTGAATGCTTTTTAGCATATTGAAAGCAAAAAGATTCGGTCTTTTACGATTTTACGATCAATCTTTAACCAACTCACAGCTTAATGTCCTTTTTCTTCCATCCGCCAAATTAATATTGCCAACAACTAGCGGGATTCTCAGACAAGCATATCCACCTTTGTTCAAAAATATTTTAATCTAAAAAGCAATTTTTTATTTACTGACAAATATTGAAACCTTCAAATGGTAGTCTAATGTCAAAATTGAACACGCGAATCCAGGCACGAGTGGTGGGATCAAAATCGGGATTGAGATTGGCCACGAGTTGGAGTGAATCTGATGATAAGCTGTACAGGGTGACCAAGAATTACCGCAACACACAAAAAGGCCTGGCTTTTAACCAAATATACAACCCATCTCGAAAAATTAACTTAAATATCTTTATTCAACATATAACAGTAACAAATTAACAATTAAATTCAAATTGTTGATTAAATTGTTGACGGAGCTTCTCTTCATGTAGGAGCTGACGGAGCTTCTCTTCATCCAGGAGCTGACGGAGCTTCTCTTCATCCAGGAGCTGACGGAGCTTCTCTTCATCCAGGAGCTGACGGAGCTTCTCTTCATCCAGGAGCTGACGGAGCTTCTCTTCATCCAGGAGCTGACGGAGCTTCTCTTCATCCAGGAGCTGACGGAGCTTCTCTTCATCCAGGAGCTGACGGAGCTTCTCTTCATCTGTGCCATTCCTCGAGCCGATTGGTTAGGGTTTAATCTTAGACGATCGCGCACTTTCTTGACATTAGCCAGAGTAACCGCTGTTCGTTGTGCACCTCTTCCAATGCGATCAGATCCCTGGATCGATCAGAAACTGTGCCCAGAGTTTCATAACGTTGAATGGTTCGAGAAACGAGGCTTCTGGGGACATTCTGGGGACTTTGAGATCTCGCTCGCCTGAACACGCTGCCGCTTGCGCTCAAGGATCGATTGTCGATGTGGAGACGCTTTCACCATTCCTGAAAACAATCATACAGTTTTAACGACCCGCTTTAACCTTATCAACGAGGATGATTCTGCTTAAGAATGGCCGAATAGCACAAAAGGTTAAAAGGGTTTCCCCAAAAGCGCTTATAACGTAACAAGAACACGTAGTATCCAACAATAGATTAATACTCTTGAGAAGAGTACGGATCGGATCGGATACTACGTTGATGGTGACACAAATGTTAGTAAAACCAGTCTCTCTACAATGTTAAACCAGTTATCTAAACAGGATTTAAAACCTGAAGGGTAGCATAAAGTAAAGTGAATTTATAACGTTACTGTTTATTAGTACAGAACCGAAATGCAACAATACCCATTACAAAAACAGCATGCGCATCAAAAAATGAAACAACAAAGTTTCCCAAGAAAGAAGGCAAAAAAAACCCGCAGACCAAAAAAAATAATTTCGGGAAGGGAGAAAAGGACGAAAAATGCGACGCGAATAATTGCAAAATAGCAACGCAAATAGGAAGGAAACGGACGCGACTAATGTATTAAAAGTTAGTAATCATACCATAAAATAAGAAAAATACATAAAAAAGCATAAAAACAGGTACGCAAAAAGTGAAATGGGGCTTATAACATAATACGACGTTGTTGCGGTAATTCTTGGTCACCCTGTATGTGTCAAAGCTTGATTTAATAATAATTTCGCTTCTAACAATTGTACTGCTGTCAGTTTCTCTAGTTTTGAGCTACTCTAGAATACAATTACTCTAGAAAACAGACAGTAATGAGTTTGCACAATCGATTGCGATTTTTGCAAAGCGCTTCTTCTTATCAGTCACTCCTCAGCGCATCAAAACAATATTACGAAAGCATTTGTGCAAAACCAAAATCAAAATTTGAAACCAAAACCATTTCAACCTTAATACGTCACCTCGGTTTTTGTGATGAGTGTCCGTTTAATCAATCTCTCACTCGGTCTCATTTTTTGTGGTCCTTCATAAGCGATGAAACGGAGTTTTTCCTTCAATGAGACCACGATCTAGACCACAATGTAAATAGATTTCAGAAACTATCAAGAACTGTAAAAGCTTCAATCCTGCTCGGAAATTCTTCAGATAAAGTTTATTTCTCTTTAAAATCTATCGATCAATGTTCCCTCTAAATCCTCCTTTATCCTCCTTTATCCTCCAAAATCTTTCCGCGATTTCCCCAGACATAAGCTAGCCAAAACATAGACATTTCAAAACATTTCCCCCTCAACTTTTCGGTATATAAACCCTCCTGTGCTTTAATAAATATTCTGCCTGAACCAAGGGATATGGACACATCTTATCCCGAACAAATCCCTTATCTCACAAGGGAATGTCAACTGGATGTGGTGGACAAATGACATCGATGTTGTCGTCAATGATTTTTTTTTAGATTTTAATAATAACTATAAGATATTAATAGTCAAAAGTAAACATTTTTATGAAAAGTAGTTTAAAATAAAACTTGTATTTGGAACGGAAAACTTGGCAAATTCAGAAAAAACAAAAGATAAAAGTAGAACGGCGGACTCGAATTAGATTTGGCTCCACAATCTCTTTGGCTCCACAATCTCATTGATCAAATAGCCTTTGTCTTGTATTCTAACTCACTGCCACTCTATCATCATTGCTTCTTAAAGACTCTGGGAAATCTGCTTATAAATTAAGGGTGATTGTTGAAATCCACACAAAACTTTGCATGCTTATAACTTTGACAGAGTGCTCCATAGCAGAAACGGGAAGCATATTCGGAATCGGCGTTGAATTCTGCATCGAATTCACTCATGGCACATGGGCCCCGAATTCACTCGTGGCCGCCACACCCAATTAAAATTCCCTTCTCAGTATGCCAAACACAGAATATGTCAAATAATAGACTAAATACCGTATTCTCTAATAGTAGTGCACTCTTTAATAGTATTGCGGTTCGAGATGGGGTTAAAAAAATAGTAGTGCACCCTCGAAAATTTGAATTTCTGGTGCTTCTTTTTCATCTAAGCCTTTTTGACTTTATGTTTATGTGACATTCTAAAGCTATTCAAGCAAGCAAACGTGAGGATTTTGTTTACTCATTCATTAACTATTCTTCACATGAAAAAGCTAGCAAAAAATCTAAAATTGTTGTGCAAAGTGCAAAAACATCTTTTTGTTGTTTGTCAAGACACAAATTGTTGACAAATTGTTGACAAATTGTCAACTCGCCGGCCCACAACTGTATGTCAAAAGGAGTCAAAGGAGTACGTGAAAGAATTGCAAGAATTTTTGGAACAAAGATCTGTCTTACTTTGGTAAATGATAAAACTCTTTAAGAGTAGTGCACTCTCTAATAGTATTGCGGTTCGAGAGGCGGTTGAAAAAATTGTAGTGCGCACTACTATTAGAGAAAAGTAGTGCGCATACTATTAGAGAAAATACGGTATCTTCAAACTCTGCCATTGAAGTTAATGTTCAGCTCTATCACCAGAAACTGATAAAATACAATTAAACTTTACAGAATCTGCAAGATTAGCTTCCTTAGAATATTTCAAAGATCTTTTCAAATCCTGCAGTTTGGTCGGTGTTTAAACAAAGACTGATATTGAAGAATTTTAAAGACTTTTAGACTTAAAGACTAAAGTTTTAAAGAGTTTTGATGGTTTACTATTGATTCAAACCTAAAAGACAAGCGAAAACAAGAGAATTCTGAGTCTGAGAAACAAGAGAACAACTGGCGACATTTAATACCTTTGCTTTCTCATCTTGATCTAGATTTTCAATCGTAATCTTTGGCTCCACAATCTCGTTGATCAAATAGCAAATTCTTGGAACAGATGCCTAAACATTTGCATGAAAATTCTCCTTTTTTTTCAAACCTGAAACTTTATTGTGACATTTTTCCCTCTTTTCCAGTCACTCTCCACAATTTTTAAAGCTCGCAAATCGTGTCTTGGCCGTAAATCGACTATGTGCAACACTGTGAAATTCTGAAAGTATTCTAGAATGTTCTAGAAAATGAGTTCTAGAAATTCTTAACCATACCCATGCAAAGCTAGATTTTAAATCATTCTTTTTCGCTTACCGATTTGATCGAGCTACTCATCGAATGGCAATCAACAACAAAAGAGACTGAGAAGTCAATCTTTCCATATGGTTCACAATTAAATGATGGAAGGCAGGAGGTTGGGAGGTGAAAACTGAAACTCTTTTTCAACCCTTGTATAGAAGCTGATCTAAAAGCTGATCTGAGTGAAATTTGAAACGCTTAAAAATCCCCTTATCCAACATTACATCAAAAGCTAGTTTAACCCATTCGAAACTTCTGCAGCGAATAATCGCTGCAACAAAAACTCAGGAACGGACCGCTAATTGAGCTATTTTCATTCAATTAATTGGTTTTTTTTGCTGTTTTTCAGCATTGCATGTATATTCCAATTGTAGCAGATCTACAAATTACGTGGGCAAAAAAGATGTTTCATATTTACCCGGAACCAATGCAGTCTCTGGTTTTGCATTGAAATGTTCCATAATAGCTCTAATCTTATAAAGCCGATCTCCTGCAGGATCCAGTTCATTATCACAAAAACGCAGGTTTCGAAGAATAGATTAAAATTTCGCTCTTTACATAATGTGGGACACGTGGGAAAATCCTCCTAATCCAGGCCTGCTACTCCAGTAGTCACGAATCCTCGGTAATTTGACGATTCCCATCTGAAGATACAGAGCCAGGAAGAGCTTGCATCGAAATCCTGCCAGTTTTTTTTCCTTTTTCCATGTTTATTAGATTCGCCTACTAACATGTTGATTAATTTGTCGTCGATAAAATAAGAATAATATAGGGTCTTGAAAAGTACTGAAGTCAAATCCAAATCGTTCTTCATCAAAAATAAATGGTGTAGGAGACTCTTTGCATCTTTCCAACCATAAATAAACTGCTTCGGAGTCAAAAATGTCAAAAAAGGGCTTGGTCCGTAGACGAAAAAAAAGAAAAAACGCTGCGGTTTCGAATGGGTTAAGGAGTTCAAAACTTGACAAAATCTAAAGTATTCGCGGATCTAGTGCTTCGGAAGGTCAATAAATCTCAACTATAGGATTGGGCAAAATTCTTTGAGTTCTTTGTTGTAACTTTACAGCCAGCCAATTTAATCGTTGAATTTTCTCCATAGTATAAATTTATTCATTCTTTAACCTATTGAGAGATTACTGGAAAGAAAAATCCGTTGGCCGGCTTTTCTTTTGAACCACAAATCATCGAGTAAAATTGAGCCTAGCTTCAGCTTCATTTTCCTCCTTTTCAGCGCTTTTTTTGGTTGAAAAACAACAAAATTCAACAAAATTCAAGGATAATTAAGAGTTTATGAAAAAGGAAAAAAGGTTTATGGAAACGGTTGACGAATAACATTCAAACAAGTTTCTTGTCCGGGTAATTTTGCCCAACCCTATAGCTGGGATTCGTTGACCTCTCCGAAGAACTAGATTAGCGAATACTTTAGATTTTGTCTATCAAACCCAAATATAATTGCACCTGAACGGAAATTCCAATCTCTTTTCGGGGCCATCGAGTCGCGCCAATGAAGTGGCTGGGATTTGCGTCTCGTCGGAAATGATCACCTGATGTGATTTGTAGAAAGCTCTGAAATTTGTGATTTCTTACTTTTTACTGCAAGTATACTGTATGCAGCTACTATATACAATTTACTGTGATACAGGGTGACCAAGAACAGTATAGGGTGACCAAAAACAGTACAGGGTGACCAAGAACAGTAACGTCAACGTCATGCTCTCAGTATGGTGGAATAACAAGGGCTTTGTGTATTTCGAGCTTTCGTTTGTATCCGAACAACCTAATAGCTTTTGAATATTTGAATTTCGCTTTTTTTAATAGCATCTAGCTTATCTGAGAGTTTTTTTTAATATAACCTAATATATAGTGTTTCGCAAAAGGATTATTTTCTCAAAAACCAAAAGATTTGACAGTTTTTTTGTTTAGATATTTAAAATCTACGTACATTTTTTCACTAGATTCATAAGTTTATGTAAAAATTTAAAACATTATTCGTTTCATAGAAAACTTTAAACGTAATTGGTGCGAAAAAATGTAATTTCTCAAAAATGTTGGTTTTTAACAAATTTTTGTTGGTCAAGATAACTAAAGAAAAACCTGATTCAGAGCAATAATCATCAAGTAAGTGAAAGGAGAGGTGGCAAAAAATATAAGGAGAGAAAAACACTGGAATCGTTGAGCAATGGATCGATCGTTGGATATAAGGGAACAAGCCAGAGTGGAGATGAATTGGGAATTGAAATGGATTACTGCGAGAGCGGATCACTTAGCGAATGTTTGTGAAAAGCTTTAGTTTTCTAGTTTGAAGATCGTTTTTATAAAGTGACTTTACTGAGTGCAACATATATAGGGTGACCAAGAATTACCGCAACAACTTTTTGGACAAGTATCTAGGAAATGTCTAATTTATTTCAAAAGTGGCAAGTGTTATACAGAGAATTGTAGGCCTAATTTTCGGCAACATTTATCTACCAAAAATATCCCGATTGGACTTATACAACTCATTTAACAAGCGCTTGAATGAGCGCTAGTCGACATCTCTCCGGCGAATCTGTCATTTGGCCAGCGTCGTTCTTTTTTGAAAAGAATTCTATGTCTATTGTATTCCATCTAGAATATTATTCTACATATTCTAAATTGAAGTATGTATAGATCTTATCCACAGAAGATTTAAACGTAATTGCTGCGAAAAAATGAAATTTCTCAAAAATGTTGGTTTTTGGCAAATTTTTGTTGGTCAAGATAACCTCAATGCAATAATGAACTCAACTTTGCAATAATGAACTTCAAAAAGCACTACTTGTATAGTAATTAACTCTAAAAACGTTATAATAGTTTCTACGTAAAATAAGAGAAGCTGTTCCACTTCAAAAACTCACGTATCAGTTCGCCAAACATTTTTCACTTCGCCGAGAATCTTTACTTTTGCTTCTTTCGGTGATGGAATTGTTGGGCTCTAAAAATTCATATTTGCTTTGTTTAAAATTGGTCAGTTTATAAAGTTTTGAATAAACAGCATGGTTAATAGTGGAAGCGAAAATTCGGAAGCTTGTAAATGCTTGTAAAGTCAGAAAGGCAGGTTTTAAACTGGTAAGAGGCGTCGTTCTTTTTTGAAAAGAATTCTATGCCTATTGCATTCCATCTAGAATATTATTCTACATATTCTAAACTGAAGTATGCATAGGTCTTATCCACAGAAGATTGTATTGGGTTGTCCAGTTATGAATGCGCGTTTTTACTATTTTGTAAATTTCTCATGATATCGAACAGATGTATATGGGTGTTATATATCATTCGAAAGCTGAAGATCTCCTCTACATTTTGGAATAAAAAAGCTTTTGAATTCATTCAACTTTTTAGGAAATTGACTGCACAAAGGGAGAGGTCGTTTTCAAAAAAAAACTCATTCCAGCTTAGCTAGTCCTCAAGTTTTATGGTGTAAAATAGCCGAAAATCACGAGCGGCTGCGACATATATATCTTTTTCTTGATTTCGATATCGTGAGAAATTTGCAAAGCAGTAAAAAACGCGCATTCGTAACTGGACAACCCAATATTTTGCTGTAAAAGCGATTACTGTAATTCATCCACGATTTCAAGTTCTTTTTTCGTTTGCGTTTTCACTTTATTGTGTTTCTTTGCGATTTTGTGATGGATTGTATATTTTTATTTCTTTAAAACAAAGCCAAGCAAGCCGAGAATTAGGAAAAAAAATCGTCAAAAATCGTCAAACAATTATCTTACTACAGCTACATGTCGATAACTTGGTTTTAGTGAGCATTGGTCCTAATTTAGGTCCTTCTTTAAGCAAAACCCGTGAATTGGTCCTCTAAAAGTTCTATAAAAGAAAACGACCTCTCCCTTTGTGCAGTCAATTTTCCCAAAAGCTGAACAAATTCAAAAACTTTTTATATCAAAATGTAGAGGAGATCTTCAGCTTTCGAATAATACTCATATATATCTTTTTCTTGATTTCGGTATCTTGAGAAATTTACAAAATAGTAAAAAACGCGCATTCATAACTGGACAACCCAATATTTTAAATATAAAAATATAACAATTTCAGAGCATCTTTACTTTTCTTTTCTTTTCTGGGCGGTTATTTTACACCATAAAACTTGAGGAATAGCTAAGCTGAAAAGGGTTTTTTTTCGAAAACGACCTCTCCCTTTGTGCAGTCAATTTCCCAAAAAGTTGAATGATTTCAAAAAGTTTTTTATTCCAAAATGTAGAGGAGATCTTCAGCTTTCGAATGATATATAACACTCATATACATCTGTTCGATATCTTGAGAAATTTACAAAATAGTAAAAAACGCGCATTCATAACTGGACAACCCAATAGAAATTCACCTCAATGCAAACATTTCCTTCAATAACATCTCCCGGGTAAAATATCGGTGGATTTCTGATGAATTTAATCAAAAGTTTCATCGTTTTAGGTTTAGAAAAATCGAATTACGATGAAAACTTGCGAATTTTTGAGAATAGAAAATATTTAGGACAAGAAAACATGTTGTTTTGATACGTTTTGGCTATCAGAAGTGAATTCTCGTGCCGGTAAAGAATGCGGATTGTTTGTTTACCGAGAATGCGTGTCAAAAGGGAAATTTTTGAGGACAAATCTTTGCTAAATTTTTAACTGAATGAGGTTATGAAATTTTCTCCTAAAAAAGGCATTTCTTGTGTATTTTAAGATGTTATCTTAGAATCTACTAATCGCTAGTTCGGTATAGCTTTTGTTGTGCAAACGGAAATTCTGATATTGCCCAATTTCTCGTGGTTGTAAAACTCGTGCGAAGAAAAAGTGGTGCATCATTTGTGTGACTGTGGATTGTTTGATGGATTTGGTTTGCAATGTACTTCAATGTCTTCAATTGATGTCTTCAATAATGGTGGCGAAAACTGGACAAACAGTTTCAATCAACACAAACAAAACTGGGCAAACAATCAATAATTCATCTTCCAGATTCCCTCAGCGATGTAGCTCTCAAGAATTGTTCGACCTCAAGCAGTTCCTCAAGCAGTTCGATCTTTAAATCGGCGCCACATCCTTTCAATATGTTGTAGGTGAACGGATGGATCGACGGGATCGATGAAGTTTGTTGTGTGGTTGACCCAATTGAACTGATAGTTGGAATGAGAAGCGAAACTTCGATACGAATACCATCCATCAGAAATGATCAAGAACAATGCACAATGCAACAATGTTTCAAGAACAATGCACTTCTGGATAGTTGGAAGCAAAGTAGCAACTAATTGGTCGGGAACAAGCACACAAAACTTTTCATTTGATTCCCTGCATACTCTGCCAAAACACCACTTCTCATCCGCCATTCGTCCAACATGATATTTCCGCTTTTCAAAAGTGATTCGTCGCTTTTAAAAGTACATCTCCGGATGTACTTTTAAAAAGGCTCCGGCCTCCAATTGCATGAGTTTTTATTCGGTTCACAGAGCTTTCAGGCATTATGAAATTTTCTCTTGAATAAATATGTTAACAAGCTTTTGTATTCTAAGATGTTATGTGATGTTGCATCATTCGATAACGTTTGCATCATTCAGTTGTTCACAACTGTGACTACACAGTCACAGTTGTGGACGGGATCACAGACTGGATCGTTTAGAGTAGACTTCGGCAAACAAAACCAAAACCAAAACAGACCAAAACCAAAACCAAAACCAAAACAAACCAAAACTCAATTTGCATATAAATTAACATGTAAATTTAAAATTGTAAAATGCAAGTTTTAATGTAAAATGCAAATTAGCCTTTCACTTTTTCTCACTCCACAAAATCTCGCGGCCGAAAAAAGGACCAAAACACGACCTCGAAATTTCGAAACAAAAAATAGCCTATGGGATAGATTTTTGGATGCTGATTTCAAATCTGCAAACAGATTTTCGCTAGCTCCTCCCAGTCGCGAGATATTGGCGAGTTTTGGTTAGTTTTGGTTTTGGTTTTGGTTTTGGTTTGTTTTGGTTTTGGTTTTGTTATGGTTTTGGTTTTGGTAGTTTTGGTTTTGGTTAAGTTTTGTTTTCCGAAGTCTAGTTTAGGGGATTAGGTTTAGTTTCCATGGGAAAGTGGAAAGTTTAGCTACTTGTGACTGTGCTAGTTTAGCTAAATTTGCTAGTTTAGCTAAATTTAACTAGTTTAGCTAAATTTGCTTTGAGCTTTTGGACTTGCATTGTGGCCTGATCCTTTTTTCAGCGTATTAAACAAAGAATCAAAGCACGAATTAGAGACTCCACTACGAATGTGATTCTGCTGCAACAATGATCCCAATGTAATTCAAATCTTTGCAACAAAAATATATGAGATTCGTGCATAAGTCTTTACAAGTCTTTTTTCAAATTTTTGTTTCCATAAAAAGAATCCTTTACCGAATTTGTATTTTTATTAAAAAGCTCTATCATCTCTATGCAAAATGGCTTTTGAGAGAAAGCTCAAAGCTTGCCTCAACTCGATAAAAACTCGATTATGTAAAATCTTCAATTGTTGTTTTAAAGAAAATTGTTTAAAGAAAATGGACGGATTGTTTTCAAATTATACAGACTTATGTAAACAAATAAGCTCTATCTTTTTTACTTTGGCACTAAAAACGGTTTGTATTAAAGAAAGTGTCCAAATTGACTTTGGCATCGGAGCAGTTTTGGGTGCTCTCCTTTGCGCCTTTGAAAATCCACAAAAACCACTATTTCCAAGAATGTCTAAAAGCCTAAAAGCCATTCTGCAGAGGAACAATTAACCCTTTTAATAGTTCAAATAGAAATTTCGGTGGTGTGGATTTTTAAAAAAAAAAAACATTTGTAAAGACTTCTGCATCAACCCAATATTTTTTTATTTCTGCATTTATGTTTACAATTTTTAAATATCAATTTCCGATTACAACAAGCAGCCGTTAACCCCTCCCGCCTTTATTCAATCAGGATCATTTCAATCAATCCTTTTCTATCAGGAAACTTGAAGCCTGACTTTAATGAAACACTTTAATGTTAATGAAACAAGGTCAACACCTTGTTTCATTGACAATCAAGTCTTAGATGTGAAAGAACCGTTGAATCAGGAGGATTCGTTAATGCTTGAGGAAAAAAGCCAACTAGTACCATTTTTGCAAACACTTAAAGTATTTAAATCCTTCTTTCTCTAGCCTTTCCCATTTTTTGAACGGGAGCCAGAAAGAGGATAAAATTGCATTTGGTCTGGCTGGCTGCCTAGGGCTTGGTCTGGTCTGGCTGGCTGCCTAGGGTTTGGTCTGGTCTGGCTGGCTGCCTAGGCTTTGGTCTGGTCTGGCTGGCTGCCTAGGGTTTGGTCTGGTCTGGCTGGCTGCCTAGGGCTTGGTCTGGTCTGGCTGGCTGCCTAGGGTTTGGTCTGGTCTGGCTGGCTGCCTAGGCTTTGGTCTGGTCTGGCTGGCTGCCTAGGGTTTGGTCTGGTCTGGCTGGCTGCCTAGGGCTTGGTCTGGTCTGGCTGGCTGCCTAGGGTTTGGTCTGGTCTGGCTGGCTGCCTAGGCTTTGGTCTGGTCTGGCTGGCTACCTAGGCTTTGGTCTGGTCTGGCTGGCTGCCTAGGCTTTGGTCTGGTCTGGCTGGCTGCCCAGAGCGACCATTTTTTGGCCTTTTCCCTCAACTCTTTTTCCATACTCTTCACCAAACGGATTAAAGGTGAATTTCACTTCCTTGTGCGGTTAATTTTGAGAAACCCTGTAGAATGTTTTGACTTTTGAACGTTTTGAACGTTTCCCATTGTCCTTGAAACTCTGCACCTTTTTTGCTCTGGCCTCAAAGAAATCTCTTTTAGCAGACACATCAATCCATTTCATTTGTGGGTTTTCAATTCATTTCTTCCTCATTTTTATTTTACGACGTTTTTCGCTGATTTTTGCTAAAAAACATTTTATCGGTGCGACACTGAGACAGAGAATGACAAGATTTGTGAGGGAAAAGAAAAATAAACAGAGCCAAATGGATCGAGAGATGAAAAGGGGAAAGAGGAAAGGAAAACTTTGAATGAAAAGAAGAGAAGAGAAAGCAGCTAATCTGGAAAATCGAGGCTGAATATTCTAACATTCAACTTTTTGTGGCTATTTTGAGTATTTTTCTTACTATTTCACAGTTCGATAAACCTAGTTTCTTGTTTTTCTTAGACATATCCAAAAAACATCGAAATTATTTGCCGTAAAGCTTCTTTCGTCTCTATCTCTCTTCTCGTATCCTAAAAGCAGTTTGTTATCCGAAAATTGGCACTTACAGAAAGTGTTTCATCACTTACTTAGTTAGTTAGACCCATTCTAGAGTATAGTTTGGTCTCCACATGCACAAGTTGATCTCTCCCGAATTCTCCCGTCTAAATAGATCAATTCTCAAAGCAAATAACTTAATGATTTCTGATTTCTGATCTTATTTTATGGTTCAAAGTGATCTTTGATTTTGAAGAGAACTCGGATCCGGCACTAGAATGTTCAACGCTCACTCCAACGATCATTTACCGCTTTTTTGAGATCTCAAAAGACCTAGCTTGATTTGTCTTTTGCCCAAAAGCCTATTAAGGTTTTTTCTGACCAAACGTTCTCTTTAGCCTTTCATGAGATGACCGCTGACCCTCTTTTCGTAAATGTCAGCTGCCCAATCCTCTTCAAAAATGATCAAATCTGACTCAAGCTCTAAAAGAGTTTCAGATCTCGTTTTTTGTTTTTTTTTGTTTCTCTTGTTTCAAAGATCGTTTATGTGCTAAATATCTAGCATCGCTGCTGAAATTTACATTCAAGCTTATAAATTTACATCCAAAAGTAGTCCCAAAGGAAGAAAACGTGAAACGATTAAGGAAAAAAAAAAAGAAAGAAAAAGAAATTAAGGAATCTCAAAGCTCAAAGTCTCACCCGAATACCTTTTTCTCCTCCAAACCTTGTATATTATTTAAATTTGTTTATTTCCTCACTAAAAATTGGACTTTATGCTCAGGCCTGTCTTTTTGCATCAATTATAATCATAAATACTATTGGGTTGTCCAGTTATGAATGCGCGTTTTTACTACTTTGTAAATTTCTCAAGATATCGAACAGATGTATATGAGTGTTATATATCATTCGAAAGCTGAACATCTCCTCTACATTTGGAATAAAAAAGCTTCTTGAATTCATTCAACTTTTTGGGAAATTGACTGCACAAAGAGGGAGGTCGTTTTCAAAAAAAACTCATTTCAGCTTAGCTATTCCTCAAGTTTTATGGTGTAAAATAACAGCCCAGAAAAGAAAAGAAAAGTAAAGATGCTCTGAAATTGTTATATTTTAAAAAAATTGTATTGATATATCTATTGGCCAAACATCAAACGGTTAACTCAATTTGAGCGGAGCCAAAACTTGATCCAAAGGCACCCTTCCATTTTTTGGCCACCTCTTCTTCTGTGAGGTCAATTTGCCCAAAAGCTGAACAAATTCAAAAACTTTTTATATCAAAATGTAGAGGAGATCTTCAGCTTTCAAATAATACTCATATATATCTTTTTCTTGATTTCGGTATCTTGAGAAATTTGCAAAATAGTAAAAAACGCGCATTCATAACTGGACAACCCAATATTTTAAATATGATTTTTGATGGGATGTCATTTTTCTTAAAAAATTGCTGAAAAATGTGGTGGTCATAAAGCTTTATCCAGCAGTGTTTATTTGCAGATGTTCACTTATTATCGAATCGTCATTCTGATCGTCTCATTTTTTGCTTTGAGTGCCCTCTCATCCAACTATCTCATCATAAATCTCACTTTCATTTGTATGCAAGATGATCTCAAAGATGGAATGACGAGTGCAAATCAAGTAAGTTCAAGTTAAACGATAGGACTTTTGAACTGACTAGGGTATGAAGAAAATATCGGCACTTTTCCGTTATACAGGGTGCGCCAAAAGTTCTCGTACTTGTATCTTCTGCATTTTTGGTAATTTTAGATAAAAGATACGATTTCAAAAGTAAGAAATTCGAATTCCTCGCGAAAAACTGATTTAGAAAACGTTTCTGGTTCATTTATAAGTGCAACGCTATTTAAGACAAGTGATTGAGTAGAGGCTTCGCTCAGGGGCGCTTTGGTCGGATTTAGAAAACGTTTCTGGTTAATTTATAAGTTGGTTCTTCTTGTCGGACCATGAATTCAGCGAAGTAGCTCGATAGGAAATGACGTGCCGTGCAGCGATGCTTCTTGTTTTTCCATTTGGAAGTTCCCCATAAACGCCCGATCGTCTGCATGTGAATGTGAATGCAGAGTCATCCGGATTCAAGAAGTTGTACTTGTAGTTGACTAGTAAGCAAAATGTGGCGTTGGTGAAAGAACGAGATTGCATCGGCCTCGGTGGTCGGTAAGCGAAACACAAATCCACCGCGCCGTCAGGAAATAGCAATACAGAGTGTCCAGAAAAAGTGGTCATCGGTTTGAGTTTGGAAGAATTTTCTCGTTGATTTTTCAAGGCTCATCGTTGTGTCAGAATTGGTTTTGCCTCAGATCAACAAGACCAAATTGATTTTTTTGATGATTTTGTGAAAGGGGGTCATGCATGGGCCGGAGAGCTCAAAATCCATGGCAAACACACTTTTGAATTCCTCTATTTCACCGAAAACCTTTCTACTTTTTGTTTCTATAAATTTGTTTTGATATTAGGATCTTGAAAATAATAGACGCCCAAAAAGTCGGTCCTGGGAAAGCCGCAACAAGATGGTTTTCTTGTTTAAAAATTAACCATATTTTCAAGATTTTTGAAGCAGCCAATCCAAAGATGCAAACTGAAATTGTGACTAAAGCATTAAAGAACAAAACAAATTCATAGAAACAAAAAGTAGAAAGATTTGTGGTGAAATAGAGGAATTGAAAAGTGTGTTTTTCATGAATACGTGGATTTTGAGGTCGCCAGCCGATGCATGACCCCCTATTCACAAAATCATCAAAAAAATCAACTTGTTCTTGTTGATCTAAGACAAAACCAATTCTGACACCACGATGAGCCTTGAAAAATCAACGAGAAGATTTTTCCAGACTCAAACCGATGACCACTTTTTTTCTGGACACCCTGTAGAATTTTTTGTGGTTTTCCTTGTTCATTTGCATGGAAGGATGCCAATTTTGCGGATGTATAACGGAAAAGAACCAAAATATCTCTAATCTTTATCTAATATGTTACGTCCGAATCCGACCAGGCCTCCGGAGCTGATCTGGACGTCCGAATCCGTCCAGAATGAGTGTGATCGGATTTGGAAGTCCGAATCTGACTCGGGCGTTAGGATCTGCTCCGGACTTCCGAATCCGACCACACTCATTCTGGTCGGATTCGGACGTAACATATAATTACAGACTCTCGTCAGCCGTTATGCATATTCTCCATCTGAGAAAAGTCTTATCATCTGGGCAGTGGCCATCGGAACAGTTATCGGCACTTTCCCTTTCAATTTCGCTTTTATCCGATGGGGAGCCAAGTTCATTCTTAAGTAAATTTCCTAAATAAATCAAATTCAGAATCCCATTCCTTATTGGTGGAGTCCTTTCGATAATCTCCACCGGTTTAACACCTTTGGCCGCTTCACTGTCGCTGCCGTTCTTATTAGTACTTCGATTGATACAGGTTAGTAACAAACACTTCTTAAACTTATGTATTAAAACTAATTTTGAATTTAAAATATGTTTTATGGTTAAGAAGCAGTTTTATAAGCTAGTATCTTGAATAATGGTGTACCAAAAGCCAAAAAAACCGACCAATAAGCCAATCCAAGATCACTGGGCCCAAGCCGACCAATAAGCCAATCCAAGATCACTGAGCCCAAGCTAAACTAGGTCATAATTAGAATGTTGCATTTGCTTTCAAAACGACCGTAACCTTGTCTTCATTTTTACCTAATCAATGGGATTAAAAATGATGCTTTATGTAGAAAATGTCACCTAAAAAATCTGATTGCAGAATCGATAATAGAGAGCTTTTTGCCTCAACTATGCTTTTCATTTTCAGGGAATCGCCTATTCAGCTGATTTCTCAGCAATCGGCGTCATCACATTGAGATGGGCTCCCCTCGATGAGATGAGCATCTTTATCGCTGTGATGACCTCCTTCATTAGCTTCTCCACATTTATCACAAATTCCGCATCAGCATGGGTGAGGCTTTACTTGAAATCAAACTAAAATAAAATCTCTTGACTTTAACTATTGAGTTGGTGAATTGAAAACGGCCGGACTTTGAACTAAAATTTATTCAACATTCAAAATTTATTCAACACAAAAACCATCAATTCATTCCAAATAATTTCCATTATTATTGACGACTTCTGCCCATTTTACAGGCAATTTGCGGATTCCTCTTTCGTAGTAGGATTTTGGTTTGGAATAGAAAAACTTTCAAAGCCAATTTTTGACTGCCTCTTCCGAATCGAAGTGTTCTCCCGCAAGCTCATTACTCATGTTTCCGGAATAAATAGTAATCAAAAGGCGCGAGGTCCGGACTGTATGGGGAATGCGCCAAAAGTTCCCAAACAAGGCTATTTATTTTAGAGCGAGTCAGTTTTGCAGCATGAGGACACACGTTGGATGAGAACGATCTTTGACTTGGAGGGCCTATTCTTAGAAAGAAATATGAAATACATAGCTGTTGGGTCGGTGAATTGAAAGCTGCGGGACTTTGAACTAAAATCTATTCAACATAAAACCATCAATTCATTCCAAATAGTTTTCATTATTATTGACGACTTCTGCCCATTTTACAGGCAATTTGCGGATTCCTCTTTCGTGGTAGGATTTTGGTTTGTGTGTGAGACAAGTGTGAGACTCAAAAATGGAGGACTGGAGATGTCCCAGTTTGAGCATTTGAGCACTTTCTTCAAAAGAAACCCATTTTGGTGTCAATAGAAAAGTTGTAGAGAATCAAAAATTAGGCTTATAGCCAAATTTCCAAAAAGATACACTTAGTAGTTTCGCTTAAAATGCAAGTTTTGTGAAAATTCGTAAATTTAGCATTTCTTGAAAACCAGTTTTTGAATCGTTCTGAAAATTTGGATATAAGCTTAATTTTTGATTCTCTACAACTTTTCCATTGATACTAAAATGGGTTTCTTTTGAAGAAAGTGCTCAAACTGGGACATATGAAAATAGCCGGAAGTTTTCAATTCACCAACCCAATATGTACTCAAATTTAAACGGATAGTCTAAGTATTGTAAGAGTAATTATCAGTAGTCAGTTTAAGTAAGCAAATAGCATTACTAAGAATATAGACAGCTTCTAGCATCAGCTTATCTCACTAAAAAGCTTGTAATATCAGCTTTCTCGTCGTCGTGCTGCGTTTTCCTCATAAACTTCATTCTTTAGCTTTCTAGTTCTGTACGTCGTCGCTTGGTTGGAGATGGGCTTTCTACTCACATACCATTGCTACCGTAGTTATCTTCAGTCGTAAGTTAGAAAATTTTCAGCAATGATCCTTGCATATTTCAGTCTGGATGTTGATCTACAAAGATGACCCAACAAAGCACAAAAGAGTGACAAGGGACGAGTTGAAGAAGTTGCAAAAAGACAAAACAAAAGCCGAGCTGGAGATCGATTATTTTGTGCCGTACACGGTGAGAAATTAAAGGCTTGACTTAGATCACTGTCAAATTCAACTTTTTAGGCAATCCTGAAAAAGGTGAGCGTCTGGGTGCTTTGGTTAAACGGTTTGGCGTTGATCTCGTCGTTGACCTTTTTGATTATTTACATGCCAATGTATCTACATGATGTGAGTTCATTAATTGAAATTTATTCATGAAATTCATGGGAATTCATTGGAAAACATGGATTTCTAATAGTAAGCTCTAAGATCAGGTTTTTAAAAATCAAAACTTCCTTTCCTTACTGTTTAAACCCCAAAATTGGCATGTGATAGTCCGATTAAATGCTTCGAAATTCTGTGTTTCAATTAAAAATCCATTTATTAGTGGGGCCAATGGGGTAGGCTAATTTCCGCAATTTTTGTTGCGTAACAGGGTCATTTGGGTAACTGGGTCATTTGCGCAGCAGGATCATTTGCGCAACTAGCCATAACTTTCTTCTAAGTGGACCAATCTTTATGATTTTGGTTTCATTTTGTAGATCTCAATAAGTGCAACAAAATGACCCAAAAACCATAAAGATTGACATAAAGATACTTAAACTATCCACACTTTTTCTCAAAATGTCTGGATAGACAAAAACGGGTGAGGCTGTATAACTGAATAGTACCCAAAAAAACAATAATAAACAAAGTAAGAGAATAGTGCTTAAAAGAATGAGATGTTTCTCAAAACGCATATTTCTGCAGCCTAGTACAGTAACAAGGTGTGCAAAATAAAATAGAAGTAACGCTTCTATTAGAGTTTTTAATTGTATTGTAATTGTAAGCCTAACTGGCGAATTGTAAGCCGAATTGTAAACCTAACTGGCGGTTCCAAGACTTAAAGGTAAAACTCGACTCTTAAAACTGCAAGTTAAAGTTTTAAAAAATAGAGCTGGATATGTTGGAAATTGAAGAATAAACGCTTGTCAAAGTATTCAATAGTTTAACCAGTTGTTCAAGTTCTCTATCGTTCAAGTTCTCTATTTTCTAGGTCCTCAAGTTCGATGTTTCCACAACGGGAATGCTTGCCGCCAGCGGCCCTCTCATACACACGCTCACCAAATATGTTTCCGGGTTTTTCAGTGACAAAGTCAAGTACGAGAAATTTCTGTTACTTTTGTGTATCTTAAGTTTCAGAATCATCAGTGAAAACAAAAAGCTTCAAATTTGCAATGTGCTGGCAACTGGCGTGCCCGGAATTCTATTCGTTTTGATCGGCCTAGCTAGGCATCAGTGGAATGGAAATTTCGCGATTGTCCGTGAACCTAATCATAACCTAATAAAATAATGCTGTAATGCTGTAACCATGCTGTAACCATGCTGTAACCTAATAAAATAACTTCAGGCTCTAATATTTGGAGTCTTTTTCACGATGGCCGCCAACTGTGGTGGCTATTGGAAAGCTACGACGTTGATCTCAAGGCCAGTAAATCGAAAGATTTTTCTTTGGCTTGATTTTTCTATTAAAGATTGAAATTTCTAAGCTAATTTCTAAGCTAGGTAAAGCCAAGACAAGCTTTAAAAAGCCAATTTTGAAGGAAATTGGTTTACTGAATTTTTGAGCATAACGGCTGATCAAGAGTCAAGAAAGTGGATGCATTTTCTTTAGAATTTCTTTAGATTTCTTTAGAATGTCTGAGGTTACTGTAATTATTGTAATCGGCTTATTGAACACTTTCAGACAATACGCGCATTTTGTGCTCTCTGTGATCCAATTCATGAAATCGGTGGCTCTTTTCACAGCGCCCATCAAATGGTATCTCTTCATCCGGAATGAAAGAGGTAAATTGATTTGAATAGAAGAAGTAAAGTACATGGATCAAAAACAAGTTTAGTCCTTTAGGCCTTTAGTTTAAAGGCCATTTTGAGCTGAGGCATAATTACGGTCCCACGCTTTTTTCCAAATATCTCCGGAATTTTTCGAGCGATTCTCACAAACTCTTTTTTAAATAAAAATTGAAGAGTTTTTCTATGATAGGTTTTTTGGTTTTTGCTGAAAACTGAATTAGCTTTGTTTTTGGAACGTCTCAAAGTTTTCTCCTCTGACAAGCACGACTCTCCTTCTGTAGTTCTCAAAGTTCTCTCCTTCGACAAGCTCGACTCTCCTTCTGTAGTTCTCAAAGTTCTCTCCTTCGACAAGCTCGACTCTCCTTCTGTAGTTCTCAAAGTTCTCTCCTTCGACAAGCTCGACTCTCCTTCTGTAGTTCTCAAAGTTCTCTCCTTCGACAAGCTCGACTCTCCTTCTGTAGTTCTCAAAGTTCTCTCCTTCGACAAGCTCGACTCTCCTTCTGTAGTTCTCAAAGTTCTCTCCTTCGACAAGCTCGACTCTCCTTCTGTAGTTCTCAAAGTTTTCTCCTTCGACAAGCTCGTCCTTCTGTAGTTCTCAAAGTTCTCTCCTCTGACAAGCACGACTCTCCTTCTGTAGTTCTCAAAGTTCTCTCCTTCGACAAGCTCGACGCACATGTCATTTTATGAGATTTCCGGGTATTTAAGTAAGATTTTTGCAGAAATTTTCTATTTAATTAGATTTGATGATGAATCAATCTAATCAAAAGTGTAACGCATACTTTTTAAACATTGTTGCCAATCAATGTTGAGTGATTGAACTGATAAAAGCACTCTAAAAGGTCTTTGAGCTATTTTTTTAGTATTTCTCTTATTAATTCACTATCCACATTAAAATTAAATATGATGATACGTGAATAAAACTTTTTAAAATCTTTGAAAATGTCTTTCGAAAACCCCTACGTTGGAGCTTTTTCAGTGAGATGACATCTTGTTCTTTTTATCAGCTCAATCACTCAACATTGATTGGCAACAATGTTTTAAAAGTATTCGTTACACTTTTTATTAGATTGATTCATCATAAAATCTATTTAAATAGGAAATTTCTCCAAAAATTTTGCTTAAATACCCGAAAATCTCATAAAATGACATGTGCGTCGAGCTTGTCGAAGGAGCGAACTTTGAGATGTCCCAAAAACAAAGCTATTGGGTTGTCCAGTTATGAATGCGCGTTTTTAGTTTAGTTCAGCTTTTAGGCAAGTTGTTCATTAGTGTTCTAACTTGCTGGGTTGATACCAATGAAGATTCAAACCATACGGAAAATTTGAGTAAACAGATTTCTTATAAATCAATAAGTTCTAGCATAAATGCCTGAAATGATTTCAATAAAAAGAAATATAGTAAATGCTTGTAAAGAAATATTCTTTGCGTGCTTGGTACTCTTCACTCAAGACACGTTATTTCTTGTTTCGAGATATCTGATCTCACTTGAACTATTGGTGGTACTGGTAAGGCTTGGGGTTGTTGTTTTTGTGGCAGTTGTGCTAAATGGAAAGAAATATATTACGGTTAGAAAACTGTATATAGTCTTTCAATCTTTCTAACTATTTTTGATGTCCCAAAAACAAAGCTATTGGGTTGTCCAGTTATGAATGCGCGTTTTTTACTATTTTGTAAATTTCTCAAGATACCGAAATCAAGAAAAAGATATATATATGAGTATTATTCGAAAGCTGAAGATCTCCTCTACATTTTGATATAAAAAGTTTTTGAATTTGTTCAGCTTTTGGGCAAATTGACTGCACAGAAGAAGAGGTGGCCAAAAAATGGAAGGGTGCCTTTGGATCAAGTTTTGGCTCCGCTCAAATTGAGTTAACCGTTTGATGTTTGGCCAATAGATATATCAATACAACTTTTTTTTTAAAAATATAACAATTTCAGAGCATCTTTACTTTTCTTTTCTTTTCTGGGCGGTTATTTTACACCATAAAACTTGAGGAATAGCTAAGCTGGAATGGGTTTTTTTAAAACGACCTCTCCCTTTGTGCAGTCAGTTTCCCAAAAAGTTGAATGAATTCAAAAACTTTTTTATTCCAAAATGTAGAGGAGATCTTCAGCTTTCGAATGATATATAACACTCATATACATCTGTTCGATATCTCGAGAAATTTACAAAATAGTAAAAACGCGCATTCATAACTGGACAACCCAATAATTCAGTTTTCAGCAAAAACCAAAAAACCTATCATAGAAAAACTCTTCAATTTTTATTTAAAAAAAGAGTTTGTGAGAATCGCTCGAAAAATTCCGGAGATATTTGGAAAAAAGCGTGGGACCGTAATTATGCCTCACCCTGTAATGTTTCTTTGATCCATTCTAGCATACTGTATTTTCTCTAACAGTAGTGCACCTGAGAGTCGCCTAAATTGCTCGAAATATCGAAAAGCGCTTATCAGAACCTATTGATGCGGGATCGGAAAATGTAGCTGACAATGAGATCTTGTGGGGGGATTAGAGTGTTGAGCTTCTGCGAAAACTTAGAAACCAAAAAATAGTCATCAACTCGGCTCGGCGGGGTGCACTACTATTAGAGAAAATGCGGTAACCACTTAGCCGACTCTACTTTCAGATATCACCGAATGGTCCTACTCATTTTATCTCAACGGATTTTTGTTGATTCTGGTGAGTTCAGAAAATTTAATGTTTCATTTCATTTTATATTTCAGTCCTCAATCCTCTTTTTTTTCTTCTGCAATGATCAACCGGCCGAATTCACGAAAATCACGCGCGACAATCCGACTGGAGCCAAATTACTAGAAGAAAATCAACAAGATGACGAAGGAGATGGGATCGAAGAAAGCGATTGATTGAGGACATAATAATTGAATAATAAACATGGTTATTATGTAGTCTAAACAAATTTCAATGATTGCACAACTCATTACATCTAAAGCTTTAAAAACTGGGTATTAGACTTATCGAGTTGCCTATCTATAAACGTTTTTTAATACAGAGTTGCTCGTTTTGAGTTTAATAACTCAACTTTTAAGTTTAAACTCATTGACCTTATACCAAGAATATAAAAATCAATTTATCGGAAGTAACCCAGAATTTAAGACAAGTAGCAAATTCTATAGACTGTCTCGGTGAAATGAACGTGTTTGTTTGGTGAGAACCGAGTAGCGCTTACAACCAGTCTAAAAAACTTAATTCCTCAAAACTCGTTTACAGACTAGAATCACTCTTTTTGCTGATGAAAATCCCTTGGACCGAGTTCCCGAAATCGCATTTCTTAGGATTAACTTGCGCATGCTAGCAGAGAGCACTCTTGCTACTCTTGGGTTCAGTTTGTGACAAACTTGGATTCGAATCTCCACTGAGAGACCGAAAATGGGAAAGTAGTTCATCGTGAAGAAAATAAAGAAGACAAGGCAGGATGAATCATGGAATGGAGTTCAGAAAGTCCACTTCCACTTTCAAACTGTGGCTTGCATTTATTGAATCAACAAACCAAAAAATGAGACCAATTTAAGAGTCTATAAAATGTAACAAAAATACAGTAAAAACACTTTGACAATACTTAACTTAATTTAACAATGGGAATAATTAGGAAATAACCAGCTTTACAGTAATCCTTGTCGCTTGAGATCCTCGTATGTCCGTTTATTGACAACATTTCCGGCCGAGTCCTCGTACTCCTCGTCAAGCTAAAAAGAGGGAATTAGAAAACATTTTTACATAGTCAAATCTGCTTGATCGTTGCTACAAGTTCTTAATCTAAATATCTAAAGATTTACCCAATAGTAAACTTACTTCTGGATTCCACCGGGTCAACTCCTGGTCTTTCTTCATCTTATTCCACAAAGCTAGTGCTTCAGCAATCTAAATAAAGATTTCACTAATTTTTAAACTTCCTTCTACCTTTGTAATGTTCATGAAATGTGCGGTGTTGGGAATGCCGAGACAACGCATACTATGTGAGTGGCGCCATTCCTGAATCAACAAATTAAGATAAAGTCCGCCAATTTAGAATCCAGTAAAGGGTTCTCATAAAAAGTTGCTTAAAGTATTAAAACCAGAAAACTTTTTGACTAGTGATATCAAAAATTTACCGAGAAATGTCGTTGAAAAGCTTTTGGTCCCTTGTATTTCTGGTTTCCGCAAATCTCACACGAATATGAAATGTTGAGCCCGTGAAGTTTGTACAACCAATATGGAATCGGTTTACCATCCCAACTAAACGAATTAACATTAAAAGAAGTAATTAATTAACTTACTCAAGTGGAAGATTCTTGGGATTATAGGGAATGCTATCATCAACCTCGGGTTCCTCGACTTCGACATAGACCTCTTCTTCTTCTTCTGATTCCTCTAAAATTTAGAAATAAGTGCAGTAAGCATTACTCTACTACTCTGAGTTTCTTTAACTATTAACAAACTGCCTATTTCTAATAATTTACGATTTCTAAAAGACTTTCACCCACCGGCTCCGCCTCGAGCCTGTTTGCGCTCCACATTCTCCTTTGTGGCGTCTCTTTCTTCTTGCAAAAGGCCCATCAAACTAAAATTTAAATGAATACAAAATCGTACTCGCATACTCACCAAAGTACTTGCATCTCAAGTGTAGCCAATTGTTTGTTCCGAAGTGATTCCTTGTTGTTGTCCTTCTTGACCTGAACGAAAACTTGAAACAAATTATAGAAATGCGCTTACCGAAGAATCGTCATGCTCAACCAATTGCTTGTTCTTTGTTGCATAGAGACGGTCGGCTCGCTCTTTTAGTGTTCTAAAATAAGAACTCACTAAAATGAACAAAACAGATTTTACAAAAGATTGGCTCTATAAATCTTATAATTAAACTGACCCTCCACATTTGAGTCCAAGTACTTTTAGCGCTCCTTTTAATCGTTCAAGCCCATAAGACTCCAATTCTTCAGCCGATTTCACTCCCGAAAGATCAATCGAGGCTGGTGCTGGTCCTGGGGCCATAGCTCCCTAGCAAAATATATTTTTATAAAGTTAGCTTTATTATTTTTGTCAACATTGTTTCATGTAAATCTATTTGACACAATTGGCTGTGTATTAAACTTACTTGATGAGCTTGTTCTTTCCAACCAGGTACGCCACCTTTCTCCCACAAACGCTCAACATCAGCAGCCACCTGAAGTAAGTTTAAATTCTCAAATTGTTTTCCCAAGTTTAGTCATTGAAATCCATGGCTTAAAATAAAACAAGCCTTGTCCATTTGATCCTTAACATCCATCATTGGTTTTGTGCGATTGAGGAAGTTGACCAAGTAATTCTTCATGGTCTAAATTTGACTTTTAGCAAAATACTAACAAACTAAATGTTTATAAACAGTAGTTAAGTAACAACGTTGCTTTTCTGACTTTTTGCATGACAGAAGCCTTTCTTTAACTCACCTCAACATAATCTTTGTAAGCACCGGTCTTCTTCGTTGAACTTTTGCTGATCGTGTCCAATTTCTCGAACAGATTCAAATATGACATGTAGTCGATTCTTTTAATCCCTTTCAAGTTGAGGTACTTATCGTAGCACTGGTGTAGATCCAAGAAACGCCCGTAGCCCTAAAACAGGTATGCATTAAAGAGCGAACAATTTTAACGCTATCAAGTTTAAAAACTTACTTCTTCATCAGTGAATGTGACCATGTCGGGTTCCTCTCTTTCAGGATTTGCCAATTCGGTGAAAATTTGTTGGAAGTCGAGAGCCAAGCACTGCGCGGGCTAAAGAAAACATTATATTAGATTTATTTTAACATCACACAATCAGATTCTCTTTTAAAACCTTACAACTTGATTAACTAATTAAAAATTAATAATTCAAAGATCTCACCTCATCCCCAGCTCTTTTATGATAATCCTTGAGTGTTTTTAGACGAGCATAGAATTCGGCAAATTCGTTTGGACCACTGATAGCCTCGACTTCTTTGTGTCTTTCTTGAGTCGAATCGATGTACATCTTCTCGAGTTCTTCGGTGGATGCCAGGTATCTCTACATAAACAAAAGTTAATAAAAATTTAGATAGGGATAACTTTTTTAAGAGAGGTATGATTGCGTCGTCATAATTTAAATAAGACTGTTTCTATGGTACCAATAATCTTTGGCAAAGCTCAACCACACATATCAACCTTTGCACAAAATTCTAAAACATCTCACATCAGCATAGGATCGAACACGGTGTTGACTGTTGACGAGTGCTTTGTGCGAGCGTTTCTCGACGATTGTCTCTCTTGTCATCGCTTCGATCAACCGTTCCCGCTCCTCGTGTCGATTTCGCTGCGCTTCCAAAATCGACTCCATCCTAAAAAAAGCAAAATTAATAAACCGAAACTGAAGGAAATGAAGCAAAATAGAATATTATAAGTACCGCAATCAAAATACGCGTCTTTGGTTTGGCAAAACTTATCTAACGCTTATTTTTAGATTTACTAACTTTAAAAATAAAAACAAGGTTTGAAGGAAAGTTTACAAAACATTTACAAGAGATTTTACAAAAGAAAAATGAGGAAAAAAAATCTTTTTTTGAAGAACAACACATTACCGCAACCTTTTGTTATTCCATTAGCCAAATGTTTTCAAAGGATGCAAAAAAAACTCTAAATCTAGACTTTGTTTTAAAACCTTACTTGAAATGCGTAATTAAACTTCTTGCAAGAAAAGAAATCGTATTCGATTCAAATTTCGGAAACTCCCGTTTTCTGCCACTGATCGGTCTCGTTTTCTCTGCACCTTTTCTGGGGTACGGTAGAAAAGGCGCGGTATAAAGTGCGGTGCGATGCGATAAAGATATACATTTCGAGTGTCCACCTCAAAGTGTCCCCTTTTTGTCCCCCTAAAGTGCCCCCCTAGTATCCCCCTATTTTTTTCATATCAAATCACAACTTTTTGCTCTCCAAGGAAAAGGAACGAAAAGACTTTCATGCGTTTAAGATGTTTCGAGTTCGATGCATTTGCCGATCATTGAGTTCAAAAAGTTAAAGCACATTTGGAGAGCAAAAAGTTGTGATTTGATATGAAAAAAAATAGGGGGATACTAGGGGGGGGACACTTTAGGGGGACATTTAGGGGGGCAAAAGGGGGACACAGGGGGGGGCACACTCGAAATGTATAATACAGATGCGATTCCACTGTGATTTGACTTTTTTTTCACAAATAGACCTAATTTTTCAGATTTCAAGCTTTACAGATTGGGAATGTATGCTTTTATAAGTTTTATTTAAATCAATTATGTAGATTTATAGCGCTCATTGGTACTTGTGGAGTATCCGGGGGGTCTTTCAATATCCGGGGTGGTAAAATTTTAAGATCCGGGGTAAACAAGAAGCACGAGTAATGCAAGAACATAAACATAAACCAAACATAATAATTAAATAAATTTGTGAAGTACAACAGTGACTATTTGTAACAGTGACAATGAATACTACTTGTAAAAATCTATCGAATTTACTTCTAGGCCAGGAGGCCAAATATCAACACATAAAACTACCCCAAAAAATGGTTTTGAAGAAAAAAAAAGTGACCCGCCAACTAGGATAGTATCAACATTTCTAATAATGACATAAAAAAATTTTGTAGAAGTTACGTTTTTTGATCGAGTCTCACCTCGAATCACGTAATCAAGTAATCACCTCGAATAAATTGAATATCTTTACATTTGAAGGGAATTTGCCACCAAATCACTTAAGCGGCTGAATATCTTTAAAAGGAGTCGTATATAAAGTATATAAAATTTTATCCCACCGGATCTTAAAATTTTACCACCCCGGATATTGAAAGACCCCTCACAACGAGTACAAAAATTTTTGTCTTCAAATCAAAAATCTAAGCACTAACAATTCTTGAATGATGTCCAACTAAGAGAAAAAATGCAAAAAGAATCGATTTCGACTTGTCAATTTTTTGTTGATAGGTCGAGAAATTTTGTCTTTTGACCTAATCAAAACGTCAACGGTGATGGCCATGGAGTTCACCAACTTTGATACGCCATATCTACAGAAGTACTCGACGGAACCCATAAGTGTTATATATTCTGAAAGCTCAGGTTGAGCTCTACACGATGGTATCAGTTTTTCTCTATGTTTTCTATTTTATTCAGGTTTTTTCCCTTCTGAACACCAAAGTTGGAACCTAGAAATGTTCAAAGTCACTTTTCATCGCGATACCGTCGTCAAATCGTGCTGAAAATGTGTTTTTTGGAATCTACGCGAAAAATTGGCCCAGGAAAGTGGAATTTGAATAATTGCAACTGGGATATCTTAGGAGAATTGATTAAAAAAAATCCGAGAGAATTTATAAATACAGCTTGAAGCAAATAGAAAGTGAGCTCTTTTAAAATATGTGCCTAAATAGTAAAATAAATATCAATAGGATAAACTTAACAACATATCAAGAATATATAGAATATAAAGAGTTTACGGCAAAATATTAACAAACTCTTTCAAATTCCGATAACAATGGCCATTATCGTCTTGCTGGCGATCCCACAGTGACTGCCGCGATTGCGCGCCATTTTGATGTAGCCGCCATCACCCTAAAAGAGTCCCCAGCTAAATTTGCATTTATATTCTTTCCAGTCTTACTTTTGGTGCCATTGGATAGAGAATGAAAATTTCTACAAACATTTCAGTTTTGGGTTAGGTGGTTGGGAGAAAAAGGCTTTAAATTGGAAATTTGGAACGGCCCGCGACTCGACTCATCGAGTAGCAATTTTCACTCGAATAGAAACCATTTTCCAATTGAGGGCCAATTTTCACAATTGGGGTATCATTTTGTAGCTAAGAATCTCTAGTCTTAAAATAACTCAAATTTATCTAATGTTAATGTACAACAAGCACTTCATCAAGCACATCAAGCACATCAAGCACATCAAGCACTTCATCAAGCACATCAAGCACTTCATCAAGCACATCAAGCACTTCATCAAGCACTTCATCAAGCACATCAAGCACTTCATCAAGCATATCAAGCACTTCATCAAGCACATCAAGCACTTCATCAAGCACATCAAGCACTCATCCTGCACTTGAAAATGTATACCTAACAATATATAAAATGATTTTTAATGTTAATTTGCTATTTCAATGGAATGACATGCTTAGAAATTCTAAGTCAATACGTTGAATCAATAGAATTTAAGTGTTTGCTTAGAAATTTTTACAAACTTCTCTGTAAAAGGCTCATGTAATTATGTAGCTGCAAGTGAGATCATTCATTTATTCATTTTAACTTTACATAGAAATGACCAATCAGTATCGAGGCCATCTCGTTGAACGATAATAATCGTCATCGTCATAGCTTTTCCCAAAAATGCACATCAAAGCAATCCCAGAAATAGCGAGACCGGTGAGAGTGATAAGAATAAAACCGCAAAAACACCATCCTTTGCGGAAATGTCCATGTCGATCGCCCTTGCACGCTCGGGTGATCAAGAAAATGCCTGAAATTGGAAGAAATCGATAGGGTCCCTAAAGAAAAGCACTATTTGATTCCAAAGATGATACTAATCTAAACCAGATTCTAGAAACTTCTAAAACCAGTTCTAAACCAGGTCCAGATTAAAGCCAAACCCAGGCTCTAAGCTTCTAGCGGGTCCAGGAACAGGATAGGGCAAGCCTAGTACAAAGTGGCCCATAATATGTGCTATATGAAGCCAGATTAAGTCGAAAATGTGTCAGATTACTTCAATTTTGTTAGAATTTCGTTTTTATAAGATTTTTCCACTTATATTCGAATTTTTAGCCAATAGATCGGCTATAAGAAAAATTAGGGCCATTAGAAGGCCAAAAATTAGGCCATTAGAAGCTCCGTAAATAAAAGCTGGCGCGGAGATGCTTTTGTTCATAAAGATTGGTGATTAAAATAAAGCCACTGAACTTTTCAGTGATTTTATTCAATTACTTTTGCTTTAAAAAGATTAATGAAATTAAAATTATTACTTTTTTTCTTTAAGCTTTTGGTCTAATGTTAGTTTTGGAATCCTCTAAAACATTGAAAATGAGCTTATTTCATCTCGTTTCCAACATTCCACAATTAAAGCAATTAAAATTTGATTTTATGATAGTTCAAATAAGAATTCTTTTATGATCTCAATGTAGAGGAAGCAAAATAACATTATTTTAAGAAGAGTTTTGAAATGTGAAACATTTAAAGTACGATTTTATAAGAAAGTATCCATCGTGCCAGACGCTTTTATTTACGGAGCTTCTAGTGGCCCTAATTTTTCTTATAACCGATCGATTGGGCTAAGAATTGAAATATAAGTGTAAAAATGTTATAAAAATGAAATTGTAATAAACTTTAAGTAGTCTGACACATTAATCTGCCTTCATATAAAGCGTAACACATTATGGGCTACCCTGTAAAGCCAGGGAAGGACTTGGCGTCCGGTCTGTTCTTCACCTAGCCCGGAATAGATACTTTTAAAACAATCTTGAATACTGGGAGATCAGGTGCACTATTAGTATCAACAATTCAGAATTTCTACTCACCCAAGCATGGCCAAAATGGTGGGAAGAAGAGGAGAAAGGCGAAAATCATTCTTCGGCGGGTGCGCGGTGAAACGAAATGATCGTGACATGGATCGTGATCATGGCAAGGTGGTGGATGAGCTGAAAATTGTTAGATTCTATTTTGAATGAATTCAATTCAATCTCTGCTTTGTTTCAGTTTTCAAAACTCTTACCGCAATCATTGACGCAATTCTCGACGATGAGCACTTGTGGATGAACAGAATGAACTGGTTGAGCTCCTTGGAAAACGACTTGATTCTGAACTTGGTTATTAGTTAGTGAATTAAGAGACTGAGTTGTATAAAGATTGTATTTTCTCATCAAGTGTTTCTGTTTATTATCGTTTTACTACCTGTTGAGGTGGATACGAAGTTGGCCAGTAGCCGGCCGATGTGGACGGTTGAATTTGTGGATAACCCAGTGATACTGTAACAGGAGCAACTCCAGGGACTGCATCTAAAAACAAGAAAATAATCTAAACAATCTTGTACTTTTCAGTCAAACTCTCTAATTTTATGATAGTATGCTAAAATAAAGAATTTTGAACTGAATTGCTTTCAAAAACCCTACCATTACTATTACAGAGACATTTTCAGCTTACAAGAAAGATAACTTTTAACTTTGATACGGAAAATTCTTGAACAACAATGAATACTACAATTTCAGGAGACTGGGTTTTAAATTATCAGCTTTTTTTGACATTTGTAAGAATATAAAGTCCCACCAATTTGACCATAAGCCGGTGGTCCTTGTGGAACAATAGAACCCTTGTCCGGAGTAGTCATAGCAAAAAAAAACTTGTAGCTAGTAAAGAAATATAATGAATGATCAGCACTTCAATCTTTTATTTCAAATCTTTATCAATTTTTCGTGAGAACTTTGCTCAAAGAGTGATTCGAAACCACGAAATAGACGTACCAATTTTTGGTCTTTACCTCACGTTTTGCTTATCAATGAATCAAAGTTTCGTAACACTTTGTGAATCATTGAAAATCTAAGTGCTTAGAAAATGTTGTCGGTTGAATTGGAAACTGATCAGATTTAACTCCATATTGGTGAAATTTGCTTTGTTAATAACTATTAACTATTAGGTTGATGCATAAGTCTTTTTGTTCCTTTTCGTCTGCCGTTTCAAGCCAACGAATGCACCAATTAAACTACGGTTGATTTCATTAGAAAAACCAATTATTTTTCTGCAAAATAACATTAAAACGGGTTTAAAAATATTTAATGCCTGGATTTTCTTGAGAGTATGAAGTCGGGTAGTCAAAAAGGGCTAACTCGATGATGCGGTTTAGACACCTTAGCTAAAGAAAACCTATCTTCGTGTCAATAGATAAAAGATAGAGAAAAAAAAGTTTGATATTTCGCCAAAATTTCAGAGAAATTCATTGAGCCAATTTTTCCGTAGAGTTTTTTATAGATTTTTACGAAAAAGGCGTTTTTCACTCTCGAATTTGCTTGAAAGTGAACCGAAATTGATTTAAAAAGATGGAAATTGAACAAAAAAACACTTTTTCTATAGAGCAAACTATAGATTAATTGGTGAATTTGTTACTTTTTAACAGAAGTACGAAAAAAACGAAAAGACTTATGCATCAACCTATTATTAACTGCTTTGTTAATAACTGTTAATAACTAATAACGCGATAAATCTTAAATTTTTAAAAAAACAGCTGGAATAAATTCATTGAATCATTGAAAAGTTTATCTATAGTCTAGTCTTACGGTATTAACACCGCATAAAAAAGTTTTTCTGCTAAACTCGAGGCTTTTGGCGACTAGGCGTGGCTCTTTTATCTTGCATCTCGAATCTGCTTTCTCTAAATCCTCTAGAGCTTTTTTTTGTCAATGATTAAAGATTAAAGAGTGTGATTAAAGTTTGGAATGCCCTTCCCGACAAGTTGCATTTGATCTCCACCGTGTCTGATTTTAAAAGGGCTACTTCGTTGCATTTTAAGTGACTTTGTAATCTTTTATCTGGTACATTTTTCATGTCGTTTTCGCACTTTATTTCTTTCTAAATAAAGTATTTATATATATATAAAATAATAAGTTTTCCAAACATTCAGAAACTGTTAAAGCTGCTTTTAAAGGTTTTGAAGAAGGTGCAAAAATGTTTGTCATTTCGAAATCCGAATCCGAAGGGGATTCGAAGTCCGAATTTTTAGCTTAAACTTAAAAGTTTTCAACAATTTTCAACAACAGCACCAACACAATGAACTGTTTTTCTCAAAAAAACCTGAAATCGAAGTTCTCCAATTGGTGGCTCAGCATAGGGAATTCCTTGAAACGTATCGCAAAGGAAACCACTCTAAGATTTGCTTTCTTTTTCAAGAATTAAACAGTTTACTTAAAAGTTATTCCAAAAACTTATTCCTCCTTATAAATTTCTTAGACAAATCTCAAGATACTCATCACTTTTTCCAGTTTACTTTCCAGTAAACTGCTTAAAAAAGCGGCATAAGTTTGGTGGATGCTCTCACTATTCTAGAACACTGGAGTGCTGGCAAGGGAGTGCGCGGGAGGCCACTTAACCTCGCCCGCCCGTTTCTCGAGTAGATGCCCAAACTTGCAACACGTTTTTCTCAAAAACTAGGGCTTCTTGGCAAAATCCGAAAGCGCCATCGTGATCACCGTATTCGACTTGTGTTTGCACCTCATTTTGGTGCTTAAATGTCACGGTCACTTCTGACCATTCCCTTGTAAACTCGATTTGCACGACAACGCGAAACCCCACACTGCAAAAGTCACTCACAAAAAATAAACGAGCTGAGCTGGAAGTTGCTTTCTCATGCGCCTTACTCTCTTGACTTAGCCCCGTCAGACTACTTTTTATTTCGCTCTCTGAAACGGTTTATCATGGGAGAAAAGTTCGATGCTCATGCTCAAGTCAAAAAAGCGGTCGACAACTATTTTGGCTCGAAAATCCCCCAATTTTTCACAAATAGAATCAAGAACAAGAACAAGAACGAAGATGGGAAGAAGTCATTGATAAAAATGGCGAATACCTTACTGATTGATAGTTACTATTTCTTATAGAATGCAATAAATTGTTACATCCAAAAACGCACATTACTTTTTTCTCAACCCAATATTAAATCAAAATCTAGCCTAGTCAACCCTTTTTTTTACCTCAAATACCTGGAACTTCCAAATTTTAAAGCATAACTTGGTCTTGAAAGTTTGAGTTTAAACGTTTGAATAAAGATCATCTTGAGACTTGAGTTCTAAATTGTATGATAAGATTTCAAAGTGTTTTTCTGGAGAAGATTGAGATCATTGATTTATTCACCCGTGACATATTGAGCATAAAGGATAGAAAAAAAGACAAATAGATTATACTTTTTTAGACTTTCTATATACGATAATGCTATGTACTGTATAGTAATAAAGAAGTGAAGGAATTGGCAAGAAAAAGTAGATTTCCGGAGAGGAAATTGAACCCTCGACCTTTTGCTTTCCGGATAATTGCTCTAGGCACTGAACTATCCGGTACCTTAACTTTCCAAGGGAAAGAGGGAAAGACAAAGAGGAAGAAGAAAGAAAGAAAGAAATAAGGAAAGTAATCGCAAAGAGAAAGCAACAAAATGAAGACAAAAATTGCTAAAGAATCCAGTTATTCGGATTGATTTTCTAGAAACCGAAACAATCTCTAAAGCTTCACATTAGTCAGAACTTTAATTCAAATTGGAGTCCCATGGACTCTCCGTGTAACCATTCCCACTAGGATGAAAGAAATCACTGTCAAAGAAGTTGGGGTTATTTTGGAAAAAGAGCACAATGCTGGTAATGACACAAGCTGGGAAAATGAACATGAAAATGAGTCCAAAGAGAATGCACATGTTACGGTAAGAACGATCTTGTTGATGTGGCTTCTTTCCACCAGTGATTCCACGACGGATCATGCAGAAGCCTGAAAGATGATTTGTTGAGTGGAAATGAAATGAATGAGTGGAAATGAAATGTGATATGTTTTGGAACTGTATGTTCATTGTTTGGAACTGTATGTCCATTGTTTGGAACTGTATGTCCATTGTTTACACCAACAAGCTACGGCTTTTAGCTCACTATAGTCCTAACAATTGCACCAGAATGCTTTTCTTTGGCAAATGCACTGAGCCAAGAGATCTATTGTTGTCTATCTTTATCTAAAGTCATGATAGGTTTTGTATATTTCTTGAAATTCCAACTTTTAACTGAACTCACCCATTACAAAACAGCCGACAGCTCCACATAGAAGGCAACCGGCAACCCAGCAACAAGCTTCATTACCCTCTACATTCTCCTGACAACTCTCGTGTTGATGACAATGAGCAGTTGAAGCTAAATACTTTTAGTTAAGATTGTTGGCGATAATTATTGTGGCTTATCATCTATTATTTTAACTATTTTGATCTCCTCAAAGCTGAAATGTTGTACTGCGTATAGAAACAATTAAAAATGTGCATTTAAACAAGAGGGGGATTCGGCTCACAAAGGCAATAAAGTCCAGGATTTTTGTAAAGTAAAGTTTCCCGACTTCATCTCTTTTTCTAAAGCTCGTCGGATCTCAATTCGATGGATTATTCTGTCTGGTCCATCTTTGAGGTCCAACTCGATGATGTTTATTTGAATGACGATGATGTTTATCGGCCCACAAAGGCAATAAAGTCCAGGATTTTAAAGTCCACAAAGGCAATAAAGTCTAGAAATAAAGACTCGATGACGTTTCCTAAACTCTTGTTAGCGTGCTCGGCTAAAAACTGGTGATCGCTTTGAATTTAATTCTTAATCTATTGTTCATTGATTTTAAAGAAAGATTTTAAAATAAAAGTTTGCTCTCTAAAGTTTAATTTAGCCGACTTTTTAACTGACAAAGCTTTTTATCTGCACCCTGTATTGTTAGGTTTATAAACTCACTGTGTGCTGTCCTTGAGACAACTCCAGTGCATCTCTGGTTGATTCTCATCCTCCTCGCATCATCCAGACGGTCTCTCTGAAAATACTCGAATTCGATGATTTAATGATTGATTTAGAATTCAGTTATCCATTAGAATATCTCCAAATCCCACCTCTTCACTTCTTCTCATCAGCCCATCAACACCCATATTAATCTCACTTTCAATTCGGCGAGCGTCTTCCGTTTCGTCCAATTGAGTCACCGAAAGCTGAAACATTGATTGATTGATTGATCGATTGATATTTGACTTAATTTATATATTAGGTTGATGCATAAGTCTTTTCGTTTTTTTCGTACTTCTGTTAAAAAGTAACAAATTCACCAATTAATCTATAGTTTGCTCTATGAAAAAAGTGTTTTTTTGTTCAATTTGCATCTTTTTAAATCAATTTCGGTTCACTTTCAAGCAAATTCGAGAGTGAAAAACGCCTTTTTCGTAAAAATCTATAAAAAACTCTACGGAAAAATTGGCTCAATGAATTTCTCTGAAATTTTGGCGAAATATCAAACTTTTTTTTCTCTATCTTTTATCTATTGACACGAAGATAGGTTTTCTTTAGCTAAGGTGTCTAAACCGCATCATCGAGTTAGCCCTTTTTGACTACCCGACTTCATACTCTCAAGAAAATCCAGGCATTAAATATTTTTAAACCCGTTTTAATGTTATTTTGCAGAAAAATAATTCATTTTTCTAATGAAATCAACCGTAGTTTAATTGGTGCATTTGTTGGCTTGAAACGGCAGACGAAAAGGAACAAAAAGACTTATGCATCAACCTATTATTACTCTATTTTAAGTATGTTTAGATCTTCATAAAAAGATCTAAAAAGTATCAACTTTTACCTCAACAAATTGATAGGGTGGTGGTTGAGTTTCACGATCATTTTCAGCACGGAATGAATGAAATCTTGGAAATGATGGAAGATGGGGAGCAGCTGAGGTCGAATTCAAAACATTTTCATCGTCATTTGTCGAGAAATCCGGTGGAGGACCGGTTGAAATTGATGGAGATGAGCAGGGAGGAGCTGATGGAAGGATTGGAAGATCTAGAAACTAGATAAATTAGCTGAATATCTTTAAGTTTTAATAAAAGTTTAAGATCTAGACATTAGCTAAGTTAACTGAATATCTTTAAGCTTTAAGAACAAAGTTTTCATTCAAAATTATCAAGACCAACCTTCGTAAGCTGGAGGAGCAGTTGGAACCACTGATTCTGGCATTGCAAAAGTTACTGTACTTGACCAATAAGTTTGATTTAATTTAAAATGTCTTTAAGACAATACTTTAAGTCCAATTTTTGCCTCTTTATATCCTCTATATTCTTATCACAAAAATCTAGTTCACTGCGTAATTTCAGAGACAAAAGAGCACCCGGGAACGTCAGTCTAACGCCGTTCTCTCTGATAACAGTTCACCAAAAGAGGAACTTTCAATGATTCATGAAAAAGATCAGAGAAGTAAGTACTTAAGAAAAGTTTCGTCATAGAAATTTTCATTAGAACTATTGTTGGTGTCCAAAAGAGAAATAAAACCTTCCTAAGTGCACCACTTTCTACAGAAACTTGTTGAAAAATGTTCAATTCAAAGTGCTAGAAGAGATGTACACTTTTGGAAGCAAAAGTACACACCAAAGCATTAGGATATGCTTGATCAGGCCGAAAAGTACGGTTAACGGACATTTGATACGAGCCCCGTCCCCTTTGCCATTGGCAATCTGACTTTGAGCTCAAATATCTTGGTGTTGGGTGGTTCAATTTTAATATTCTTGGTATAATTGAATGCCTCAAGTCTTTCTCTGTCGATTGGTACAAAAACTATTTAAATTGAACCGCCCAACACCAAGAAATTTGAGCTCAAAGTTGGATTGCCAATGGCAAAGGGGGCGGGGCGCGTTCCACAATCGAAAAGTACTGCATTAGAGCAAAATTGACAATGCAAAGGCGCGAAGAAACGACAAATGGTGCACCAGGAGGTGTGCGTTTCTGCCATTTTGGGCTTGTAGGTCAAGCCAAAAGCCAACTAAGACCTAGAGTCAGGCTTGTAGTAAAGTCAAGCCAGCTCAACCAGACAAAGCCAAAAGTCAAGCCATCAAAATTGTTTTTAACTGTGTTCAAGATGTTTTTGAATCATGACTGGCTTATTTGACCAATTACACAAAGATTTATCACTAACAAACTCGAAACAAACAAACAAAACTTCTATTTCATCACAAAATCTTCTAAAATCGGCACAGGAAAGCTACTTTTTGGTGGAGAAGTTGAGGGTCGATTTCTATTTCTATTGATAAACGATGAAGTTGAAAATGTTTGCTTTTCTGAGGTGAAGGGCTTAAAATATTGTTCATACAATTGGGGAAAAGTGCTAATTGGAACGACAAATATACAAGGAACATTTGAAGGCAAAGAAGACAAATTCCCGTTCAAAGGCAAAGAAGACAAATTCCCATTCAAAGGCAAATTTGGGGGAACGGTGGAAAAGTTTGGCTTTTGTGGGGAAATTGTGAAGAGATTTGGCTGAAAATTTGTCTGAATTGATGTTGAAATGGAATTTGATTCGGTTTTCTTCACAAGAATCGCTTCAGCTACTGCATCGGTGCTTTTTTCGTCGAGTGCTGTGGACGTTGAGGAAGTTGAGAAGGAGTTCTGGAAAGCTTACTATAAGAGTCATAGGCTTAATCTGTACATTGTCTTTTATAATCTTTTAATGCATAATGTGAGTTCATTTATGTAAGCATTCATTGCAACTAGTTAGTCTAACAGAATTCTGAATAGAAATTCTCAGCCTTACAAAGGAGAAAACAATGGTAAGAGTGTTCTTTACTTACTACAGGCATGATTTTTCAGGATAGAAAATGCCAGAAGACAAGTTCTGACCTTTTCCGGACAAGACAAAAGCCAGATTCTGGCTTGGCTTTAATACAGGCCTGTCTCTGGGCCAGGCATGTTAACTCCGCCGCTTTTTTAGTCCATTTGCCGTTGGCAATCTACGAATTTCGCTCGTACCTTGACCGGATTGGTTTGCAAAACGTTGAATTTGCTTTCAATCAATAGAAAATTATATTTCGAAATTCGTAGATTGTCACCGGACCGAAAAAAGGGCGGAGTTAATATGACTGTCCTGGGCCCATCGACCAGACACTAACTAGGCCAGGGCCAGGCTCTGGTCTGGTCTGACTTACAGGTTGAACACAGTTAAGCCTCAGCCTAAGCCAAAGCCTAAACCTGAACCAAAGCCCAAGCCTAAGCCTAAGCCTAAGTCTAAGCTTAAGCCAAAGCATAAGCTTAAGCCAAAGCCTAACTTAGCTCCGAGAACCGGCTGAGATCCAGAAAATGGGGGGTTCAGCCCAAACCCAAATAGACTTAGTGCGAGGCGCTAGCCGCTAGCCTTCGCACTACATTTTACGATACAAATCCAGCTCATTGCTGGATGCTACTTGCGAATTAAACTGCAATCACAACTCGCAAACCTTATTTTCTTTTGGTATCCTCCGCTTGTAGTGCAGCTTCAATAAGACACAGATAGCAATAGCAAAGTAGATCACTGGGAATAGTTGATGGACTAGGAGTATCTAAATATCCTGTTAATAACGAGAAAAACGATTCTTTGTTTACACAAAATGTTTCACTCACCGTTCGACTGCTCATTTGCGCTTGTCGAGCGCTGTTTGATGAATGAATCTCATAATCCATCGTTGTATTCGAATAAAATGACATTTGAGGATAGGAAAACAATAAAGTCCCATATTTTAAGTGTTCCAATAAACGTTCAAAACATGTTACTGAAATAGGTTTGTTCTTGTTTAATTGTTTAAACCGTTTTCCATTCACTCACCATCACTGTAAATCCAAATCGCATTGCTTGAGGCAACGAAGAGTACTGTAAGGAGAATTGAGGACCTGTTTTGCGAATCGTTTTGAAGGAACAGCTTGAATATACTCTGGAGTTATTTGTTTGTTAAAATTCTTAAATTTTTCTCGATACCGTAAGAAGCAAGACACCAACAAGAACCAAGACACCGATGTAGACGAAATGAGCAACGAAAAAGATCAAGGAGATTGTGAGATTTGGTGGGTCGAATGAATCTAGAATTTGATCTTTAGATATTTAACATAAAACGAATACATCCCAGGAAATTAGCTGGGATACGGCAGCTTTTTCTACAATAATTTTCTTTTAGAATCAAGCGAAACCAATCCGGATCCAAGTTATTGGGTTGGTGAATTGAAAACTGCCGGCTATTGTCATATGTGACAGTTTGGCGTTGATCTATCGTTTTCGCTTGAAAAGAAGCTCACTTTGGATGTGTTTTTTGTATTTAGGCGGTAAGTTCATATAGAAAATTGTTGAATTCTAAGAAAAGAGAGAATTAGGAGAGATTTTGACTAAAGTTGCCTTGAGTATCTCAGCTATTTTTATTGGGTTGGTGAATTGAAAACTGCCGGCTATTGTCATATGTGACAGTTTGAGCACTTTCTTCAAAAGAAACCCACTTTAGTGTCAATGGAAAAGTTGTAGAGAATCAAAAATTAAGTTTATATCCAAATTTTCAGAACGATTCAAATACTGGTTTTCAAGAAATGTCAAATTTACGAATTTTCACAAAACTTGCATTTTTAGCGAAACTACTACGTGTATCTTTTTGGAAATTTGGCTATAAGCCTAATTTTTGATTCTCTTCAACTTTTCTATTAACACTAAAATGGGTTTCTTTTGAAGAAAGTGCTCAAATGCTCAAACTGGGACATCTCCAGTCCTCCATTTTTGAGTCTCACACTTGTCTCACACACAAACCAAAATCCTACTACGAAAGAGAAATCCGCAAATTGCCTGTAAAATGGGCAGAAGTCGTCAATAATAATGGAAATTATTTGGAATGAATTGATGGCTTTATGTTGAATAAATTTTAGTTCAAAGTCCCGCAGTTTTCAATTCACCAACCCAATAATTACAAAAAAGTAGCAAAAAGCTTAAGTTTTCTAGATTTATAATTTAGATATTTACAAGTGTTTTAGCCTAATCGGATAGTCATTAAAGTAATTATTTTAGTTCAAAATTTGGTCACAAGGAACCGCGGCACAAGCTCTCGAGTTTTCGAGATTTGAAGCTCTATCGAAACCAATCCAGATTCAAGTTATATCCGAGTTATAAAACCTTTAGATACCCTTTAGTATTCCCTTTAGTATTTTCAACTTCTCGTGAGACACACTTGTTAGTTTCATATCAAAACTTTCATAGAGCACAACCCTAGAAATGTCGCGCCGTGTATTTTGGAATCTGGATTTTGATTAGTGACTGGAATCCACGTTCGACTTTCTAGCGAATCTAGAGGATAAAAAATTAAACAGGAACTTTAAATCTAGGTTTACTGTGTGGAATAGCTTGGATCATTTTGAAATTCGAATTACAATTGTAAATCTGTTTCACCTGCATCATTCAGTGCATAAATAACCGTAAATCCACCCCAAAGCAATGAGCAAATGATGAGCAATGGATAGAAAATGCTAAATTTAAAAGTAAAATTACATTTCTAAAGTCAAAAATACTTTTCTCTTTTCGTTTTCCGATTCCAGATCGTGATTAAAAAGATGAAAATCGAGCACAATGGATGTAGGATTGAAATGCTTGAATAGAGGGCGAATTCGATGTAGAAGAAAGGTGCAAAGCTGAAAATTTGTGAGTGAAGCTCAATCTAATCATTTTTAAAGTTTATAAGCTCTTTAACAAGCTTTAAAAATGTAAAATTACCCATGATATCCTTTGGACAAGACGGCGATCACTGAATCAACGCCACGAATGACAGTGTTTACAGAAATCACCACTAAACAGCTCTGTACAATCGAACTTTAACAATTTTGATGACTTTTCTATATGAAACTTAAAGAGGAGGAGTTCGATTCTCATTAAAACCAAATTATCTAGGTAATTTTTTGATAAAAGTTCTTGTAAAATGATTAAAGTGACTCAATTTTTACCTTATTTGGCTCTATTTCAGCTAGAAACTTTAAAATCCGTTAAACTATTGAATTGGTGAATTGAAAACTTCGGGACTTTGAACTAAAATTTATTCAAAATAAAACCATCAATTCATTCCAAATAATTTCCATTATTATTGACGACTTCTGCCCATTTTACAGGCAATTTGCGGTTTCCTCTTTCGTAGTAGGATTTTGGTTTGGAATAGAAAAAGTTTCTAAGCCAATTGTTGACTGCTTCTTCCGAACCGAAGTGTTCTCCCGCAAGCTCATTACTCATGTTCCGGAATAAATAGCAATCAAAAGGCGCGAGGTCCGAACTGTATGGGGAATGCTCCAAAAGTCCCCAAACAAGGCTATTTATTTTAGAGCGAGTCAGTTTTGCAACATGAGGACACACGTTGGATGAGAACGATCTTTGACTTGGAGGGCCTATTCTTAGAAAGAAATATGAGATGCATAGCTGTTGGGTTGGTGAATTGAAAACTGCGGACTTTGAACTAAAATTTATTCAACATAAAACCATCAATTCATTCCAAATAATTTCCATTATTATTGACGGCTTCTGCCCATTTTACAGGCAATTTGCGGTTTCCTCTTTCGTAGTAGGATTTTGGTTTGTCTCTGAGACAAGTGCGAGACTCAAAAATGGAGGACTGGAGATGTCCCAGTTTGAGCACTTTCTTCAAAAGAAACCCATTTTGGTGTCAATAGAAAAGTTGTAGAGAATCAAAAATTAGGCTTATAGCCAAATTTCCAAAAAGATACACTTAGTATTTTGGCTTAAAATGCAAGTTTTGTCCAAATTGGTAAATTTCGCCTTTCTTGAAAACGAGTTTTTGAATCGCTCTGAAAATTTGGATATAAGCTTAATTTTTTATTCTCTACAACTTTTCCATTGACACCAAAGTGGATTTCTTTTGAAGAAAGTGCTCAAACTGTCACATATGACAATAGCCGGCAGTTTTCAATTCACCAACCCAATAAAAATAGCTGAGATACTCAAGGCAACTTTAGTCAGAATCTCTCCTAATTCTCTCTTTCCTTAAAATTCAACAATTTTCTATATGAACTTACCGCCTAAATACAAAAAACACATCCAAAGCGAGCTTCTTTTCAAGCGAAAACGATAGATCAACGCCCAGAAGAAAGCGCATAGAAGAGTTTCCAAAATGATGGTGATTCCTCGAGATTGACCTGAAACATTTCAGATTTTTCTTGGTTTTTATTGTCTGTCAAAATAGCGCTGAAATTGGAGTAGATTTAATTGCAAATTGTGTTTTAATCAGCTTGTAGTTGAGATTTTGAAATGTCTTAGTGTACTTCACTATCTGGAGCCAAAGCTATCGACTATTGGGGCATTTTTCATGGTTAAAACTAGAGCCAAAACCATTTTTAACCACTAAATATTCATTTTCTAACTTAAATTGACTGGTTTTAGGGACAAAAGAAAATGAAATTTTTTTTTGAGATTTTGACTCATGTGGGGGACTACATGGTCGAAATTTGGAAAAAAATATTTAAAAAAATTTTTGTCCCAATTGATTAGAAACGTAATCAGTAAGTTAAATTATGCCAAAAGAAGTGTTTTTGGTTTCAAAAAATGTTTTGAAAGACCATTTTTAGACCTCTTTTCTTTGTGTATTCTCATCACACTGTATCAGTGCGCACTTTGAAGCCTCAAAACTCCGCTTAAAACTCCTTTTCCCAAGCTCTCGTTGCATTTTTCGGAATATACGCATAAAATTACCCCAGAGAAAGTCGTTTTGAAGAAAAAAATTAGCCTCCCAACTGGTGTAGTACCAATTTTTCTTTAGTGGGTAGCTCCGCCGAGAGTTAACCATTCCCAATTCTTTTTTGGTGGAATTTACTGCTTATTTTCAACCCTTTACTTCAATACTTTACTCAGAAACTCAAAGTTAGCAATTAGCAATTCTATAGAGCTTCAAATCTCGAAAACTCGAGAGCTTGTGACGCGGTTCCTTGTGTCCAAATTTTGAACTTAAAGAATTACTTTAATGACTATCCGATTAGGCTAAAAAACTTGTAAATATCTAAATAGCTAAATAGGAATAGCTCCGTCTAGAGTTAACCATTCCCAATTCTTTTTTGGGAGAATCTACTGCTTATTTTCAACCCTTTACTTCAATACTTTACTGAGAAACTCAAAGTTAGCAATTCAATAGAAATTCAAATCTCTAAAAACTATAGAACAATCTCCAAAACTCGAGAGCTGGCTTCTTGTGACCAAATTTTGAACAAATATTACAGAACAAATAAGTAGCAAAAAGTTAAAGTTTTCTAGATTTATCATTTAGATATTTACAAGTGTTTTAGCCTAATCGGATAGTCATTAAAGTAATTCTTTAAGTTCAAAATTTGGACACAAGGAACCGCGTCACAAGCTCTCGAGTTTTCGAGATTTGAAGCTCTATAGAATTGCTAATTGCTAAATTTGAGTTTCTGAGTAAAGTATTGAAGTAAAGGGTTGAAAATAAGCAGTAGATTCTGCCAAAAAAGAATTGGGAATGGTTAATTCTAGACGGAGCTATTCACTAAAGAAAGAGTGGCCTAATTCTTGTAGTTTCTACAAGGATTAGGCCACTTTTTCTTTAGTGAGTAGCTCCGCCTAGAATTAACCATTGTAGAAACCCTACCAATTGTGACATTCAGTCGAAGAGTGTTCAAGTCGCCCCATTGCAAATTTCTCATCAACACATCGAGAATATCCATTTTGAAGAGAGGGCAAGAATCCGACTCCTCAGAATTTCGCAAATAAGCAAATTTCTTCAAATGAGCTCCAAAGCAATCAGCTCAACTCCGGGCCGCATCACTGCAATTTACTCAATTTTTACCGAAAATTACCGGTTAAATCGAGTCAAACAAAAATAGAAGAGAGGAAAGCTCAAAAAGAAAAAGAACGGCCAAAAAGAAATCAAAATTTTCTCTCTATGGTTGCCCGGGTGGCGCGTTTCAACACAAGCAATTTCTGAACTGTAAAACCTTTTTGTACCTCGACTTTTTTCACTCTTTCCTCTTTTCTCGTCTATGGCTTCCCCGTTTTTTTTGTGATTTCATTAGATTTCCATTTCTCTGGCAATTTTCAGAAACCTTACGCAATCAACGCCGAAGATCTTTCAGCTTACGTTTTGATACTGAAACTGGATTACCTTTCGAAATCCAATTAACCTGAGAAATAGATCAAGTACAAGAAAGCTGCTCTCAACGCAATCAGTTCTTGGTCTCTGCGATAGACTTTAATGAAATCAAGAAAGTACCGATTTTCTCGATATGGAGAATGAAACCAGATCTGGAATCTCCATACATCATCTTTAATTGGTTTGACTTGATAGACAGACCCGACGGATTGAATCTTACATAGATCAAGCAACAGTTTCCAAGAATTGATCTAGATAAAAAAAAAGAGCCGCCTTGGAACCGTATTGGAACCATATTGGATCAAAATAGGAACCGTATAGGAACCATAAAGGAACTATAAAGGAACCAAATAGGAACTATAAAGAAACTATAAAGAAACTATAAAGGAACTATAAAGGAACCATAAAGGAACTATAAAGGAACCATAAAGGAACTATAAAGGAACTATAAAGGAACTATAAAGGAACTATAAAGGAACTATAAAGAAACTATAAAGGAACTATAAAGGAACTATAAAGAAACTATAAAGGAGCTATTTACAACATAGAGCAAGTTGCAGCTTTTCTTTCAAATTTAGTTCCTCGATTCTCAATTGCCAGCTACTGTTGCTAACGATAAATGAATAAATCTAGAAATTTAACGGGTAAATGTATTAAAAATTATAAGGGCTTTGACAAATACAAACACAACTATAGCGCCGCACTTTAGAAGGCCTAGATTGGTCAAAATTGAGTCAATAATTCTGGTTTTTCTGGAGGTAAATCTTTAGTATATCTCCTGTAAAGGTGCTCATTATCTAATCCATTCAAGCTTTCAACTTTTTTATATAATCCTGACTGGACTTACGGGGTGGCCCACAATTATAGCGCCGCACTTTAGAAAGCCTAGATTGGCCAAAATTGGGTCAATCATTCTGGTTTTTCTGGAGGTAAATCTTTAGTATAGTCTACTTTCCCTTTCACGTCTCTCACACACTCTTCTCGAGCTTTCCATGGCCAATCGACGTTCTCTCTGTAATTGAATTGCTGAGATACTTCAAGAATTGTATTTTCTTACCCGTTCCCTTTGCCTTCTCACTCCGTCAGTTTCTCTCTCGAGTTCCAATCGGCGAGCTTCTGCCGTTTCATCCAATTGAGTCACGGAGAGCTGAAAGAATTATTGAAGACCAATTAAACTCGATTTGTATTTGACAAACTGTTTTAATGAACTAAAAGTTTCAGGCTTGTTTACCTCAACGGATTGATACGGCGGTGGTCGAGTTTCACTATCATTTTCAGCACGGAATGAATGAATTATTGGAAATGATGGAAGATGAGGAGCAGTTGAAGTCGAATTCAAAACATTTTCATCGTCATTTGTCGAGAAATCGGGTGGAGGACCGGTTGAAATTGATTGAGATGAGTAGGGAGGAGCTGATGGAAGGGTGCTGTCTAAAATAAGCTGAATATTTAACAACCAATTCTAAATTAACAAATCTGTCATTTCCAACAGATTATTTAGAAATCCAGAATTTACCAATGTCTTCATAAGCTGGTGGAGCTGTTGGAATAGTTTCAGGCATTGGGTACTGTAAGTTGTTTTAGAATTGATTGCTTGCCTATTTAAGACAATTATGCCTTTCCTTTTAACTTCATTGTCTTATATGATTCAAAATCTCTTATCTTCACTCTTCTCTACGTAGTTTCGAGACTGAAGAACGTGCATTATACATCAAATTTCATTTTCTTTTCGTTGATAACTATTCAGAGCCACACTGAGTCATCGCTAAAAATAAACTTATTGAGTGATAAAGATTGAATTAGGATTTGAATTGAGTATGATTTCTGAAGTGTTCCCAGCTGCGAAATCAATGAATGAATAATACCAACTAAACTTATAGGATTATATGTCCAGATCCGGGTTGGTAGAAAGCTAAATATCCAGTCATGATCATGGTTTTAAGCCAAACTAGGTCAACTTCAATATTAAAATTGAAATTCCAGGCCTAGACCAAATGAAAGCCATTGACTTTGACTTGGCTTTTGGCTTTTTTACAAACCTTGGTCCAGATCACAGTGGCGACCACAGTGGGGAGGGATGTCAATGAACTCTTTTGGCACCGAAACATCTACCCGCGTGGCGCAATGGATAACGTGTCTGCCTACGGAGCAGAAGATTGAAGGTTCGAATCCTTCCGTGGTCGAAAGCTTTTGATTTTTCTGGCGATCAAATTCTTGAACAATTGTATCAAAATTGTTAAACATTGCCCAATATAACTGCCCTTTCACTTTGCACAAGCAGTAGCACATAAAACAATTAGAATTTGTCAATGATTTGTCAGTTTTGAAACTTTTAAGGTCATAGATCAGCACAGAAATTGCTCAATAAGTCACTATTTTCTCAAAAGAAATTAAGATTCCTTTTATTGCATCACTTTCCGTTTTTTGGTCTCTCAGTTGATAAACAGTGGTGATAAGAGTGCGTGAATCGACTTTTCGGCTGAGAATTCTTTCTTGTTCCTTACAAGCAAGGCTTTTTTTGTTAGGTATTTCATTAAATTCTATTTTTTAAGCTAAAAATCTGTCAAATCTTTGAAGAATATGGAAGCAAGTTCTACAATTGACGAGCAATCTATTTTGGGCACTCCGATCACGTGGGAAATTATCGAAAAAGATTTTCAAGAAGCATACGAAACAACCGCAAAAACTGGAGACAAACGAGAAGCAAAAGTTATTGGTGGCGGAATGGTGAATAGTTTCAAATGATCACAAACAAAGTATACGCGATTTGACTTAAAATAGTGAACTCTTGATTCTCTTTAGTTCAACTTCAAGTCGGGTTTCTTGGAGTTGAGCTAAAATTGGACTGTTAGACCTGTAAAAACACTAGACTTTGTTTGTATTATGTTTGTATTGGTCTAAACTTTCAGGGTTATGTCTCCAAGTTGACTCATGTCTTCTTTGATTGGACTACCGATCATGACCGATTGCCTAAAGAGGCTGTTGTCAAAATCACGATTCCGGTTCAAATGGGACCAGTGCGATTCGAAAATGGACCGTTTGAATTGGATGATAGAAAGGTAAGGGAAATAGATTCTTATTGGGGAATTCGAGAAAAGAACGAGAATTCGACATTTTTACAACTTTTCCATAATTTTATGAAATCCATGAACTTTATAACTTGAAAAGTTCGAAACGACAAAAAATTTCGACCACGGAAGGATTCGAACCTTCAATCTTCTGCTCCGTAGGCAGACGCGTTATCCATTGCGCCACGCGGCCATGGTTACCGCGACTCCATAAATGTCTTTTGAAAAAAGGATTCTTCCCTCGAGCAATTGACAGGTGTCAGAAATGCCAAAACTGGGTCTTGGGGAGGGATGTCAATGAACTCTTTTGGCAGCGAAACATCTGGCCGCGTGGCGCAATGGATAACGCGTCTGCCTACGGAGCAGAAGATTGAAGGTTCGAATCCTTCCGTGGTCGAAACTTTTTGATTTTTCCGGCAAAGATGACTGAAAACTTTTCACAATTTTATCCCAATAGTAGCAGTAGCAGTAGCAGCTTAACAGTAGTAAACTTTCGCTTCAAATCTTGTTTAGATCATGGATGACGAGTTGTTGTTCTATTCAAGAGTCGGGAATTTGAAATTTTTGCCACCAAAGTTGAAAGTTCCTCAATTTTTCTGTGGCCGCAGGTATGGAGTTGATGGAGTGAATGCTGGTGAGTTTAAAATCAAAAAATATTCTTAATATTTCTGATACTCAGGTTACATTTCAATGGAGCACATTGATGGATCTATTCATCGTCACCTTTATCACAATGTTTGCAAGAATGGAATCTTTGAAGCAATCGATCAACTTGTGGAGTTGGCTGTTTTTTGTAAGATTGTTCAAATTTGTGGCTCGATTTACAGTATCCCAGCAATAGTACAAAAAAAATTGAAAACTTGGTACTTTGGTGGTTTGGAGGGCCACTTTTCGATTGCTTTATCGAATCTAGCGTTTTGAGCGGTTCGTGTCGCTCAAAGCTCAAAGCGGTTCGTGTCGCTCAAATCCTTTTCTTCTATTCTGAAGGAAGAGATTGACTGAAGCGATCGGTGCTAGTTTAAGCACGTTTTTGATAATTCTTCTCGTTGATTTGCCCTGTGTTGTACTTCAATGCTGTAATGAGTGCAACTTCAATACTTCAATATTCATACTTGTACTGTGTTGTACTTGTTGTACTTATCTCAAAGCTGTTTGCACTTGGAAAGCTGCAATACTAACTTGAAACAGGTTAGAAACACTCTAAAATTAGCGCCAACCGCTTCAGTATATATAATTACCCCGGAATAGAAGAAAAGTATTGCTTAAAACACTAGATTCGAGCACTAGATTTCTAGAACACTAGAAAACACCAAGCCAAAAGTGCACCAGAAACTTTAAGCACTGAAGTATCCCGAATCACTCACTGACTGGCCAAAGTTTGGACGCACACTTCTCGATCATTTCTTGGCCATTTGCGTAAGTATTTGTTTATTTTTGTTTTACAAACTTTGGTTTAAAAGCTTTTGGTTTAAAAGGTATTTTTAACGCCTAAGATATTCGATTTACGAGTATCAGCACAAAATTTATAAGAAAAGTTACCATTCTTATTCTTACTTTCAATTCAATTAATTTTCAATTCAATTTTATTCAATTTAACCATTCAGGATCTTGACAAGAAAGCTTTACAAATGATTGAAAAATTCCCTGATCTGAAAGAAGAAATTGAGAAATACGTTGCAAATTATGATAAAGTTTACCGAGATTATAAGCGATTTATGGAGATTCGAAGGAAAACTTGTAAGTAAAACTTTTTAGAGGAAAGGAAAACTTGCTAGAGTAATGAAAGTGAAACATTTACTTAGGTACCAGTCAAATTCTATGCCAAGGAGATGTTTGGACACCGAATATTCTCTGGGATTTGGATGAAGAAGGGAGATTTCATGTGAGAGCTCTCGTCGATTGGCAGGTATCGTTAAATCTCAGGCTCAGGCTCAGGCTAGGCTTTCCTAGTGCGATAGGAAATATGTCAAAACCAAGCTAATTTCGGGGGATGATTGCGTGAATAGAATGGGTATTGGATGACAGTAAACCTAGCAACCTTACAGTTGCTGTTGCTAAAATTACAGTTGTTGCTAAACCCCACCCCATTACCCGCCACATCATTGCCTTCTTAAATTCGAATTTTCAAAGCTCGCCATAGCCGCCATAGCCGCCCTGGTCGATTGGCTAAGAGCCCTAGATCTTAGTCGAGAGGTCAAGAGTTCAGTCCCGCCGGCTAGATTATTGAATCTTTTCCCCCATCTACCGTAAATGCTGTATTTAAACGACACCCCATTTACATTTGAAATAGAATTTTTTAATTTGTATTCAAAATTTGTATCCAAATGGCTCAGCTACGCAACGTTTAAAATTCATTTTAAAAAGCTCATTCTTTTCATTTTCGCGCCAAACATTTATTACATTTATCTCTCTCATTTTTTTTGTGATTATATTTCAATAATTTTTTTTGGAATGGGATCAATCGACGAGAGAGTTTTCAGTCATCTTTACCGGAAAAATCAAAAGGTTTCGACCACGGAAGGATTCGAACCTTCAATCTTCTGCTCCGTAGGCAGACGCGTTATCCATTGCGCCACGCGGCCAGATGTTTCCCTCCCAAAAGAGTTCATTCACATCTCTCCCCAAGACAAAGGAACCCAGTTTTGGCATTTCTGACACCTGTCAATTGCTCGAGGGAAGAATCCTGTTTTCAAAAGACATTTATGGAGTCGGGGGCACCATGGCCGCGTGGCGCAATGGATAACGCGTCTGCCTACGGAGCAGAAGATTGAAGGTTCGAATCCTTCCGTGGTCGAAACTTTTTGATTTTCCTGGCAATCAAATTCTTGAACAATTGAATGGATTTGAAGAATTTCGGGCTCAACGAGAAACTCTCCATTTGGATTCAGTTGTTATTCCTGGAGGAACGATTAAGTTCATTCAGTGTCATGATGTGGCCTGGAATCAGCATTTCAAGGCTCATATTCGGCAGTGCTATGGAGATTGGATGCTCTTGGATAAGCTCACGGGAGGAGGAAAGTCGAAGCCAAAGGATTATTACTTAGATCATTACTTGGGATGGATTTTTGATGTGTGGGATAAACTTACCCCCGAGCTAACCCCCAAGTCGTTTAAAGCAAGTGGATCCGAGCATCCGAGCATAGAGCATCATAGAGCCCTGGATGGTTCCGATGATCACCTTATTCAATGCTTTAAGCCAAAAGGAGCAATCCCAACAGGTTGCTTAGGTAGTTTTGTTGCAATTTATTTGTTTCTGTTTTTATGACTTGCCAAATTGAAGGATGCTCGTTTGGATCAAGAAATCGCTGAATTGTTGCAAAGATTGGCTTGGCTTGGCTCTCCCGCAATTGTTCTACTTTCATATAAATTTTGAAGCAGAGCTTTCCAGTTGGGAGTGGCTAGCATTTGGATACAAATGAATATGTTGAAGCTGAAGATGCAGACAAACTAAGTGATGACTTGAATCTTTTCGATTTTCGATATTCCGCGAGATTTTATCGGCAAAGTTATAACGTTAAAATTGATCTTTTTAATATAATCTAAAGGGGTATTGAAAAATAGAACGACATATCGTTCTAATACAGCATTTACGGTCTATGGGCTTTTTTTCTTTCATATATTTAAGGCTGAAGGGTTGTGCTTGTTGCTGACGGGTTATGCTATTGTTTGTACCACATTATTCGTGTAAATAAGCGTATTTTTTTAAAGCTTACATTCAGTTGGTTCATGTCGGTTCTCCACTTGAGGATCTCGTCTTCCTTCTACATAGTGCTTGCTCAGTTGATGACCATGAGAATCAGTGAGTTGATAACCATGAGAATCAGTGAGTTGATGACCATGAGAATCAGTGAGTTGATGACCATGAGGATCAGTAAGTTGATAACCATGAGAATCAGTGAGTCTTTAAACTTGGTTGTCCCGCAATTGTTCTACTTTCATATCAATTTTGAAGCAGAGCTTTCCAGTTGGGAGTGGTTAGCATTTGGATTACAATAAAGTTGATGGTATAAGGCTAAGTTTTGTTTTTGATTAAGCTCAAGCTTAAGTGGTTAAGTTCAGAACAAGTATAACTTGAACTTTTATAGTTCAGTTCAGTTCGAATTTTAAAGTCAAACAGTAAAACAAGAAAGTAAGCTCCTTGAATTTTTGGTACTTCTGATTTTTTTCCAAGCAAAGAAACGCAAACTTACATATATTTTACTACATATATATTGTACGATACAGTTTACATTTCAAATATATGTCGTAGCCGTAGTGTCGAGCGCATTTCCTTAAGATCGACGTTTTTCTGATCGCCATCTCCCAATCGCTCATCGGAGTCGTTTATTTTGCTGTACATGCTGCCGCATCTGTGCCGGGTGATTACCGTAAATACTGTAATAGTATAGGATAGCATAGCGCCATAGCATAAGAGTGTCGCGTACTTTTAGAAGTAGGTATAGAAAAATTGTAAAACTGTATAAATCTGAAGAGGCTATTTGTTTTTTCTCGTCAAGATCTACAAAATGAATGGTCGATGAGCAAATTTGACTTAGTAGAACCCTAGAAATCGTATTTTGGGGTATTATATGTCGTAGCCGATTATGAATTTCAGCCCATTATGAATGAGTGGGTCTAGGAGCGTCCAACCATCAAGTATTTAGTATAATTCAACGCAGAATCATTAATACTTATGTTAAATTTTTTTAATTAGAAAGATTAGATAAAAAGAAAAAAAATTATGGGGCTTTAAAGTTTTCTCTTGAACAAACAGTTTTTTTGCTCTAATTTTTTTTCTTTTTATTCAATCTTTCTAATTTAAAAAATTTAACATAGTTATTGATGATTCTGCGTTGAATGATATTAAATACTTGATGGTTGGACGCTCCTAGACCAACTCATTCATAATGGACTGAAATTCATAATCGGCTACAGGGGTCCCGCCTATTTTGAATGAAACGTTGTAGCGCCGGCAATTTTTAACCTAAACTCACAAATTTGGTACCAATCGACGCAGAATTGAATTCGCTACAAGATGATATAATATTGTCCTCATACATTAAAGGGTTGTTCTACTAGAAAGATTTGCCAAAAAATTTCATTCATAATCGGCTACGACATATATAAATCAGCTGTATTTCGTATTCAGAAATGTAAACTGTATTGTGCAAGTTCATATATGCAAATGTAGTAAAAGATCTGCAAATTTGCGTGGATCTTTTATCACAAGAATGTCACAAGAACCAAACAAATCATTCTAATTTTTATCCACGCACTTTAATCGATGATCTGTGTCGAAAAAGTCACAAGCGTTTTGCTAATGTTTCTCGTTTTGAACAAGGAAAGGTGTATGCATTAGACTTCGGAATTTTCGGTGTCAATGTCAATAGGTGTCCAAGAATGTCAATAGGTGTCCAACGGAAAAATTCCATATCTTGGCCAATTTCATCTGAATCTTTTTGTCTTTGATTTCAATCGATAGAAAATTAAATTCTGCATGTTCTCAGGGTGTTTTATGCGACAGTGTGCTACAACGGAGCGTCACGTAGTCTAACTTTAAGCGCCTTGTTCTCAGGGTGTTTTATGCTACAGTTTGCTAAACAAAACTAAACTGGTAGTTCTCAACTAAACATTTGTGAATAGCATGACAATGACAATAATCTTAAAAGAGCTCTATAACCATATATTCTGACAGTGCTATGGTTCACAACTTGGGTCTTTTGTTTTGTTAAAATTCCGATAAAATAAGTATACGTTGTAGCACACTGTAGCATAAAATACCCTGAGAACAAGGCGCTTAAAGTTAGACTACGTGACTTTCCGGCCGTCACTGCATACGAGTTGAATCAACAACTTAAGGCTCATGTTTTAGTACGACTGATGAAGTTAAAGGGTGAACTTTTAAACACAGTTGGTCTGATGTGTTAAGTTATACATTGTACAAGATCAACTATTTCGAGTACATTGTACAAGATGAACTTTGATATTTGAAAAAAAGGGATAAAATGAAGATATATTTTGAAGATATTTGCTTTTCGACTATAAGGAAATTGAGAAACCTAACTGATTCAACCCAACTATAGCTTTTTTGTAGTTTAGACATCCGAAGCTCCACAACATTATAAAACTATAGTTAACTACCGTAATTATTCTAATAAAAGCACCGCCTAGTGACGGCCGTAGCGTCACGTAGTCTAACTTTAAGCTCCTTTTCTCAGCGTGTGTTTTATACTACAGTTTGCTACAACGGAGCGTCACGTAGTCTAACTTTAAGCGCCTTGTTCTCAGGGTGTTTTATGCTACAGTGTGCTACAACGTATACTTATTTTATCGGAATTTTAACAACCTAGATATGTCTATAACCCGTTAACACTAGACCTGGGAATTTTCGGTGTGAACGTCAATAGGTGTCCAACGGAAAAATTCCATATCTTGGCCAATTTCATCTGAATCTTTTTGTCTTTGATTTCAATCGATAGAAAATTAAATTCTGCATCAAATGATATCAAAATCAAAAAGATCCGAGTGAAATTAGATATCATTTTTCCGTTGCACGTCTATTGACGTTCCCAGCGAAAATTACCGAGTCTAATATGCATTAGATAGCGTTTCAAACAATTTAATCAATGAACTGTATTCAAATTTGCGTGAAAAAAGTCACAAGTACCGAATTTTTTTTAAGAAATATAAAACCCCTTTCTTCAGTCTCGAAAAGTTCTTGTTCTATTACTACGCGAGTTTGGAATCTCGTCTCGATGGTGGT